AAGTGCTGAGGAACGCCTATATAACAAAGAGGTTGGTGGGATATAAAATTGATGAGCTCCGCGGTGTCACCATTTGGAATTGGTGGGAGGCACAAAAAAAGGGACGCCTCTCAGAACGTTTATAAATCAGATTTTTTTAAAATCGAGAAAAAAAAACTACGGAATTGCGCTGCGAGGGAGGGCACATTGCGACAGGAAAACTGCCTCGAAGCAGTCGAAGAAGAAGGAGGAAGAGTAGAAGAGAAAAAAGAATGAATGGAAACGAGGATGCTGCTGTCGAACACGAAGAAGAGCAGGGAAAAAAGAACTGCCCAAAATTGAATTGGTTTTCAAAGGCCACTTGATACTTTTTGGGTCCCTCCCCCCATCCATCTTCCTACTACAGCTCCATTATCGTCTTGCTTTTCAGCACCGCGAACATGTAGCTGGTTAATAAATAATTTGTGAACAACAGCACTTTCGAAAAAATCCCAACAAGCCCATTTGAATAAATCCGCAATTTTGCCCTACTTGAAACTTCTTCAGACCGCTCCAATGCCCATAGAAAGAAGAAAAATGACAACGCATATGCGAAAAGCAAAATGTTGCTACAGTATATCATAATTAATTTAATGGAAAAAAGTGTTGCCTTTTCTTTTTCAGGAAATATAACACACATTCATACATGTTTCATAAACATTCTCACATCCATTGTGCTTTATGATATTGGGTGTAAGGTTTCACGATTTCAGTCGTCTCCATTCTACGGAATAGGAAATGTGTTATATGCTGAATGTGTTTGTGAGTCAGAGAATGATTGAACCAACAGAAAAAAGAGTAGGAATCGCGGTAAAAGCACAACATCTCTTGGGAATATCGTATCACACAAAATAATCTATGTGCTCGCCTACCTGCGATTCAGCGCGATTCCTTTGAGATTGGCCGGAATGGAAACCATGAATAAGGCAAGTGAAGAAGGAATTGAATTGCCAAGCTTCTCTCCACTCCTTTTTCATTGAACAGTTTATTTATAAAATGAAAAATGCGGTTTTTTTTTCAACAAATCTCTTTTCTTCTATTATTATGAGTGGTTTGCTTATCTAAAAATTTCAATACCCTTAATTCAATTGAATGAATGAAGTGAAAAAAATGTTATAATGCCATGAGCCTTAGTAAAACATATAACATGGTAACAATATAGATAATGATGGTCAATTTAATGGTGTTTTGAGTTTTGTGAAAAAAAAAATCAAGATTCGGCTTAAAATCAATTAAAAACTTTAAAAACTTCAGGAAAATTGCATAAAAAAAAAACTAATTTTAACTATTTTCTTTTTCAGCATCATAAGATTAAAAAGATCTCGCTTTGCTTTTTTTATTTGGTTTGAAATAAATGTGAAATTTGAAATCTTAAAGATTAATGATCAACCATTATAACACAATCAAATTTTAAAATTGAAACATTAATGAAATTATTTTTAAAGCAATGATCTTGAATGAATTGTTAGTCATCTAATGTGCAATCATAATTTGCACAAAATGAAGGCTGATTGAATGAAAATTGTAAACTGAAAATGATGTTTAATGACCAAGATCGTACTATTGTATCGAATTAACAAATTGCAAGCAGCGTATCAAATATCGTTTAATATTATTGAAAAATACAAGACTTATTTGAAAGACTATCGTATCTTCACTATTAATTCAAAAAAAAAATGGAAATGTTTTTAAAAAAAATGAGGGATTTTTCAGAAACACTAGAATTTTATAAAGACGAACTTCAGACCCTTTATAAATGCGCGTCTTATACCAATGAATAAAGCCATTTGCAAAATAAAACAACGTAAGAGGATAAACACTGAAAACGATAATATTCGAATTTTTTGTTTTCTCGAGCAATCTTAAAAATAGATATACATAGCTGTTTGTTGAAAAAAATTCATATATAGACATTCGGCTCTCAAACTAAAATTTCCCATCTTCTTAAAGATTAGTCGGTTTAGAAATAGCATTTGTGAGGAAGGAAATTCGCGGGCGCGATTATGATACATATAAGGATGAGCGTAATGAAATGAAGGATTTTATAAGAAAATATGAGAGCACCTATATATCTATATATTCTAATTATGTGAATGCACATGGGAAATGTTGGTGTAAAATTTCCATAATCCTTGACACACCGTCTTTAATGTTTGCGGTGGCTTTTTGGCGTATCAATTTTATTAAAAGGTTTTGATTAATCATGCAGACGGCGAGGATGACAGCGAGGCACTGTCATCACAAATGTATGAAAAAGCTTTGGCATTTATGAATGGAATGTGTACTTTCGAAAATGAAAATATTAGTCTAATGGGGAGGGGATAGTCTAGACAAAATAGTTATTTCATGGTAAATACTATGGAAATTCTTGGAAATGACTTTGAGTCTGAGCCGGTAAAAAACCCATTAAAAATATGCAGATTTGAAGGAAAACTGGTTATAACTAAATGTTTTAAACCAAAAATTCCGAATCTGCGTAATACGTTATTTAAAGGTAATTACTCCTATCCTATATACATGGTTAGAAAAATTACGAAACAATTGTTACCCATGATTTTCAATTTATCTCGTATATATTGTCGGATTTTAGGCCGAAAAATACATGTAGCTTGCCGGGATAATTGGCAAAAGAAAGCATTCTACTGTCTTCTTTGTGCAAACACGATTTGACATTTTTAAATCAAAATTCAAATCATTCATTGGACACCATTCGAATATTAACAAAACATTCTGTTTATTAATAGAATAGTCACAATGGACCCACAAAAATTGTTTTATCGTGAATGAATGTATAAAAAATTTTCGAAAATTGATTGAATCCACTCGATTCTGAAAAGAACTATACTGAAAATATAAAACTTAAAATAAAACATTTCATTCAAAATATATAGCTAAGATTTATTTTTCACAGTTTTTTTTTTAGATTTCTGGCTTTTGGAACATTTTCTGGATATTAATGTTACAGAACCCCCCCCCCTTTCCAACCCCTTGCGGAATGCGCTTTTGCCGCCGCGTTAAAACGCATTACGCAATTGTGTGCATTTGCCGCGGTAGTCATTTTTTTATGAGCTACTTGGTCGCGGCCAAAAAATTTCATAATTTCTGCTCATTCATTGTCAAGCTTGTTTGTAAGTGTCAACGACGTTTCGGCACACACAAAAAAAGAAACCACTCTTTTTCCAGTTTCGACAACATTTTAGTGCGAACGGGTCGTTGGAACACACACACACATACACATTTGTAGAAGGGATTTTATGATGAAATCTCTGGAATTGGGATTATTTTGATCAAAATATTTTATTACGTTCTTTAGAGCCCCGAAATATGACGTTGAATGAAGCTCGATGAAATCGTGAGATCAATAAAATGCCCAAGTTTAAGGTGCACAATTATCGAACTCAATAAACGAGCATGTATACATCGTAAAAAAAAAACAAAATGAGCACTCGAAACGATTTCTTTTTGCAAATGTGAATCGCCATTAATGCGAAATTGTTCTCCGATTACGATTACGAATAAAATGAAAAATTTGAAGAATGAGAAAACCGATAGTGAAAATTACACATAGCAAATCAATTCCATGAATAGCATTATACGCATACAATAAATCTTGATAATCTTGAAATGAGAAGAAGAAAAAGACGGATTAATGCCCGATTTTCTGAAACTAGCAGTTCTCACGTTGCGCCGGAAATTTGAGAATTCCGAAAACATGGATATTTGAGAATGTGAACTTAATAAAATACATCAATTTTTTTAAACGAAATCAAACACTCCAAAATCATCAAAAATCTTAGTTGTAAACATTTTAAAGTTCGCTCTAAAGCTCAGAGTTTGAACAAACTCCATTTTGATTGCAATCCAGAAGTGCTATTTTTTAAAAAGAAACTTTAAAATTGCTATACATTGCAACATCTGAAAATCGACTACTTCCTGGAAACTATTACACATGGGATATGCATTAATAAGTCATACTACTCAGTAGACAGGAGTCAGAACATTAATTCTCTGTATTTTTGAAGTTCTTGCAGAAACTATTTCAGCCTGAAAGAAAAAAAGATGTTGTATGTTATTTTTAGCGCTTTCATTCATTTCGGATTCCTTTTCAGTTTTTCCGCATTCCATATTTTTGATTCTTCTATTTGCCTAGGTTTGTTTTAATCATCAAACAAATGTCGGAATGGCGATTTGATACATGACTTTTCCCAATTCGAATTCTCGGATTAGTACGGTAACACAAAAACCGTATAATAAACACGTGTGCCAAGTACACACACAATGCAACTAAAGTACATCTGCACGCGCAGGCGACGCCGGTTCATCGGGGCGTAACGCACCGGAAGCCAGTACCGCGCCGCGCTCGAGCTCGTCGATCGGTGAAGAGATCGCGAGTGCGACGAATGACAGCAAAAAAAACGGTTGCGGCGGCGCGTCAGAGAAGCAGAAAGAGAGGCGTTGGCTGCAGCTGAGCCACCCCAACCGTGCTTGAATCACAAAATATCGCTGAATACCGAAGAGACGGTCGGCTGTCAAATTTTCCGCTGCCGGCGGCACTAGTTGACTACCGCCTGATTCCGGCCTAACCCAACTATATTCCGATTAGTGGCATATTCAATACTGTCGAGTTATGCATAGGGCTTATGACCCTGGCCAGACAATACGTGAACGATGTCTGAGAAGTGTTGAACGAAATGATATGAGCAGGTACTCCACCAATAATGCCGCTGCTTTTTCATTATGAGTTTTATCTGTTTTTACGTTGATTTTCTCTCCTCAAGTTTCATATTTTAATTTTGCATATTATTTTTTTCACCTACTTATGCTCTTTGTACCTACTTGCCTATGATACCGGTTTCCTCGGTACTCATCTTTTTGTCTATTGATTTTAAATAAGCGGAACGCTAGTTGGAGCATGTTTCAACTCTCCAATACCACTTTTCAAAAATTTTACCTCATTTCACAGTTGCAATAATTTCAGAGAAATGGAGAGTGGAGTGTCACGTTCGTCACTCGTCCATGGCACCAAGACGAATCCAAATTCTGATACCTGGTACGACACTGATGCATTTCTCTTGGTGAGTCTGACCTATTTTAAATTTTCGATCGGTTGATTTCATCTTATCTGTTTTTGCAATTTTCTGTTTGATCCGAGGCGAGAATCATATCGAGTGTTTCTCGACTTTCGATATTGTCGCCACTCTGATGTTTGTGCGTGTGTAGCATTGTGCGTTTGCGCAAAATTCCATCAAGCTCAGTTTGATCAAGTGGACGATGCTTGGTGCTGCTGCTCAGGGAAGGGGATATATTCATTCGAGAGCGTTGGGGAGAAAAGGAAGAACGGAAGGATGGAAAAAGAATACGAGGGTCATTCAACACCCGTGAATGGTGTGCCCCGCGGTTTTTTTTGTTTGATCGGTTACGCGGAATCTCTGCAATAAGCACACAGTATCAAATCTCGAATTTTTTCTCGAGGTTCGATTACGAAAAATTTGAAGGACTAGTTTTAAACGTCTAACATTGAGAAAAAAAAACAAGAAATTCTAGTGCCCAAAAATGATAATCTGTTGGTTGGTTTGTTGTGATTGCGATTTTTGAAAATTTTGACAGCGCGTTTTCAATGCAAAACTTTTTTTGAAATAAATTCTCACACAATTTAAAGATTAAACTTTTAAAAAAGGAATATTTCAATCTACAAATTTTCCTATTTAAAAGTTCTTCGGGAGCACGAATCGATTTTCGATTTTTCTTTGAAATCATGATTGTTGTTGACATAAGTTTCAATTCATTAGGAAACCCGAACCGAACACCGGTTGCAACCCAATTAATGTGTGCTCATCGATTAGCGACAATATTCAACACCGCGTTGAACAATAGCATCAGTGTCGTTGTTTTAGTCGGCATCAAACAGTACTCGCTCTCCGATTGGTCCCCCCCCCCTCCCAACCTGCTACCTTCAATTCGCTTGCCTGCGCATGCTTCTGCCTTCCGAGAGCCGTTGGCGCCCGTATAAACACAAACACACAAATTGCCGGCCACACACGACGCAAGTGGCAGCTCACGCAGCAGCTGTTTGCTCGTCGTTTGGAAACCGGCTTCACGCAGACCAAAAAATGAGTGCCTAAAAAACCATTTACACCGGCTCAGCTGCCCCTGTCCGCCATTTGTGTACAGTTTACGTGAGGAATTTGTCGCGAAATTAATGACGGTTTATTAGTGATGGGGGATTAGTTCGCTGTGAAGGGAAAAATTTGATTAGTTCCAAATGATTGATAATGGGTGGAAGAGAGTAATTAATTTTAATTATATAATTAATGCGATTATCGTTGAGATTCTCTGTTTTCAAGATTTTTCCAACAAATTTTCTGGAATGAAATAGCTATCTGCAATTTTACAAAGCTACTTTCCATTTTTTTTTCAAATCACCCCTCGGAACATTGCTTTTGATGAATGACTCATGCACTGTTTGATCTATTGTATCAATGCGACTTGATCTTCACTGTGTCGAACATCGAACATTTCTCTTCAAGGGTTTTGGTCTTGTTTTGAACTCACGTGATTGCACAAAAAGGAATGCGAGACATTCTTGCCACTTGACTTAAACATCAACAATCATTACCGTGTTTTTTTTTTGTTGTAGGATCAAGTCAAAGAAGTGTTGAACAAACTCAACGATGGATCGATAGACGATGAAATATGGGGAAAAATTGTGATAATGGAGAGGTAGAGCAAGCAAGTTTCAGAGCAAAGTATATGAAGTTTCAGATGCAAGCGAGTTGCAAAAGCATACCTTCGTAAAACTACCGTAATCATTGATGGTTCTGAAGATGAATTTGATGGCAAAACACTTGGATTCAATCATTTTGAAAATAGTACACGCGATGAATATACACAAGAGATACGTGCCAAAATCAATGATGTAAATAGTCCCTATATGATTTGGTACCATTCCAAAAAAAATATGAACGTTTTAGGGTGTGATTCTAAAAATGGATTATCAAGGAAATATCAAGGGAATGGCTCGCGGAGCAACACCAATCATATGCCAAGGATGGAAGGACACGAGAACTAATTGCATTTCGGATCGGCTTGTAAGACTTCATGGAAAATTGAATCATGGCGCTTCGGAGGATGAGAAGGCTTATAAAGTGTTTGATATGAGAAAGTTCAAGCACTCATTGGAGAGAGAAATTCATGACGGAAATCCGGATGCGAAAGCCTTGTTGTTGAAGACATGCGTTCGAATTGCTCTCGTAAAGGTGAATAGCAAGTTTCGCGTTTTTCGAAATGTTCAATTTGTAGAACAACAAATAAATAACGTTTTTCTTTAGGATGGTGCCGATATGGCTCGTACACCGTGCTGGTTCGCTGTCGTCAATTTGGTTGCCTTGGATATGCTGAAAGAAAAAATCCCCGACCTTTTCTCTATTTGTAGGCAATCGCAATCTTCTAACATTTTCAGACATCTTTTCAGTAAATGGAAGTACATTGAGTAAAGCAACTCCAGTTCCCCAAGACTCTTTGGACACTCAAACGTTGACGCAGATTATTGCAGCGGCTGTTACTCAAGCGAATAAAGGGTAAATTTCAGATTTCAATGATTCGATCGATTTTGATTGAATTTCAGATTGGCCGTTCCTGCAACACCAACAAGCCTTTCAATTTCGCCGGAACAACTTGCTCAAATCGCGTCGACTATTAGTATCGCTCAAACAAATACCATGAGAACTGCGGATTTGACAACAATGAACAAGAAGGAGAGAAAGTGCGTCTATATTATCAATTTTTTTTTTCTTTCTCTAATCAAATACGCGTAGGAAAACATATCACTGCTCAACCTCCTCGCTTGACTCATCCGGCGAGGACTCATCCGGTCAACGCTCGGAATGCAATCCTAAAATGAGGGTGAAACGTTGGGAGCAGAACAATTTGAAAGTTGAGAAAAGTGATATGGAGAAAGTTTTGGAGGTAAATCCAATTCAAGATACTATGGGAAAGCTTGTTTAGAAAAGTAGAGTGGTTCGCCCTCACCGCCCTCTTCTGCAAGATGTTATCTTCACTAGAAGTCATTCCATCACTAGTGACTATGATAGTAATAAGGAACACTTTGATTCTGGAAGTTGGAGTTCAACTCAGTCAAGATCGCAATATAAAGTTAGCATAGTTAGAATTATCAATACTACGAAATGCATTGTAGGGGAGTCAATCAACCGCATCCTCGGTGGTGTCAGATCATGAGATATCTGCCTTAGCGCGTGAAGAACTCAAGGAATCCAGTGAGATCAGAGAAGCCAACAGCACATCAGAGGGTATACAATATTTGGCATCAAAAATTATCGCTTAATATTCGACATGCATGTTGAAAAACGTATCACGCACGAATCGTTTTTTATTACAGAATCCAGTGTCGAACCCGCGACACCATCACCAGCACCCTCTGTTAAACTTGCACCAACACTACCTAGAAAAGATTATGAATCCGCAATGCCTGAAGAGACTGAAATTATGCGAACCCGTCATAACTCGATAGCGCCATTGGATTTCACGCCGAAACTTGAAGGGCCCAAAGAATGGAAGCCGTCATTGAATCACACAAGAATTGATCATTCCCCACCACCACCATTGCCCAAAACACCACAACCGTCTGGTATGATCTTTCAGATTAACTCTCACCCACTGCAGTAACCGTAGATAGAATGAAGCCTAATTTTTTCGGTTAAAATAATTTGCAACAGTACAATTAATAATAATTTCAGACGACCGCGCTTTTAACGCTTAAAATAACATTTTCAGGCCAGCCAATACATCAGAACTATAACACGTAAGTTGCTTAGCATGCTTCCATTCGCTTTTATTAGTTATTGTCATTGATATGTAATATTGCTTTAGCTTTCATTCCAACCCCAGCTTTTACGACAGCCATGACGATGTGGTGAATATGGTTTGTAATGACATGAGAGTGCTTGGGTTTTTTTTTAAATGCATTTTCTAATGAATGTGAAAATGAGGAAAAAAATTAAATAGTAATATTGTTTTGGTTCATAATAGTTTTAGAAAATTGTTGGTTCAATTAAAAACACTCAAAAGGTATGTGAAAAAATTGATAAAAAAATTGATGGCCCCAACTCAAAATTCATTTGAAATTTCGACAAGCTATCCTCATGTTTCTGCTAGAATCGTCGTTGCCGTTTGTGTTGTTTTTTTGTTGCTTTTTTTCTGCGCTCACCCTTTGCCAACATTGCTAATTTTCATCTATCAATTGTTTCATTTATTGGAACTTTTTGTTTAACATTGTGTTTTATTGTAAGTGGAGTGATGTGTGAGTTTTGTGTTGTTGAGGCGTTGCTCAGAACTTTTGAGCATCAATTTTTGGATGTGAGTGAGCCCTTGAACCTGTTTGCGGTTTAGAGTGTTGCTTACATCCAATTATGTTGTATGACATTGTCGGTTTCAGCGCTCCCAGCTTCGCTCGAGGAACGGCCCGGAGATGGAAATTTACTTCGGCAGAGTCGCCCGACACTCCTCCGATCTCTTCCTTCCAACGCAACAACATCAGGGACGAGCCAACCCCTTCGTCAGCGAACTCCGACAAGTTGGAAAATTCATAAAATCAATCGAGCGTCTAATTAATTTTCATTAAAGGTTCTCGCAAAGCGTACGAATGGATTGCGAGTTGCCCGCAACCACTCACAACCAGCAGCAGCTCATCCCAACTTGCGACAATTCACCAACAATTACCAAACAAGCACGAACGGACGATGCACACCACCGGAAAGAGCACAGTCGCAGCTCATTGGATGTCAATACCCACGCGGGCTTCGTCGCACAACGAACATGCAGCTTCAACCGAGCCACCAACAACCGCAAAGTATCAATTATGGCCAGTCGATTCTGGTAAGTGGAAAAATTCGATAAAACAGGAAGAAGTTGGTTTTGATTTTTCAGTGCCGCGACGAAAACTCAACCCGAGTCAACAGAACCGGATCACTTCCATGGGGACAATGGCAACATATGAGAAGAACGCACATGTAACCACTCTTCACTTATCTTAAGTGAGAACGCCTATCTTGTGAGACTGCACAAATCATATAGTGTATACTCGCACTAGGCTGACAAATTACTGTTCAAGCCTTTCAAACATTTTTCACCAACCAATCATTATTTCGGTTCATTTTTCTTAAATTTGTAGGACAATTATGCAAATTTGCAAACGTGTGATTTCCAAAATATCAACAAAAAAACGTAATGTATGTGCGAATCGAACTGCTCAATTGTATTGTATTATTCAGCATCGTCATTATTATTTTAATCTAATATTTAATATTTAATTATGATAATAATGTGTAGCCAATCACTTCCCGGTACTTTTCACTGTATGTGTGTATCTATTTTTATTATGAAAATAAATAAAAAATGCATTTTTGATAATGAAACAAATTTATTGTGAATTTTTTTTTCTGGAAATAATTTCTTCCGGCCATTTCAGGAATTTGAATAACAATCACAGGGTCTTAGAATTTCAGACATCGAAAATGGTAAGATAGCTATGTGAGAAAGAATAATATCCAACGAAATATATATTAATATTGTATAATCCTTTTTCTAGACCGACCAAATGTTGAGCAGAAATTATTTCTTTTTATAAAAACTTTTTTTAAAATAATTTTGAGATTTTCGCTTAAAAAATGTATTCAAAATCCATCAAAACGTGATATACGGTGTGCAATATTTGTATAAAAACTTCACCGGATAAAAAAAATGAATTTCAAGAATGCCAAATTTGGGTGACAGATCACACAACACGCATTTTTTTCAATCTATGCACGTAACCAACACTTTGAACATATTCAAAAGTTCAATTAGAAACATTTATATGTTTACATGCAATTTTAGAGCCACGTTAATCATTAGCATATTCATATATATATATATATATATATATATATATATATATATATATATATATATATATATATATATATATATATATATATATATATATATATTCATTAACTTTATGATTTCAGCTCAGATTTCGTTGTCTTCATAAAACAGGTTTTATTCAAAGGAGTTTTTCTCAAGATACGGTAGCCTTCAACTCCCCCTCCCCTCCCAAATATTTTCCCTTCGCATAATACATTTCATATTAATCTTTTTCCCGCGGTAGTGCGGCTCTCCGTTTCCGGTGCTTTCATCGTCAGCATGTCTTAAAATTGCTAGTCAAAAAAAAAAAAAAAAACACAAGGACTCATTGAATTGTATAGTCAAGGGGCGAACATTTTGCAAACTAATGAAAACGTTTTCTTGATTCGCGCAATTTTCTGAAAACTTCGAATGATGACGTCACAAAACGCCCTTTATTTGTTCAAATTCTAATATTGTGCAAACGGGAATATTAATGAAAATAATGTGAAAGATGAGAAATGCTGAAGAAATTGAAATTGTACTCCAAAATATTTGAAGCTCGCTTTTTTTTAGATTATATCTCGATGGAAAAAACAACAACACAAAATCTGAAACTTTCTCATAAATCATCCGATTTCAATATATTTTTATTCAATGGTATAACAATTTTTTTTAAAGAAATTTTGTTACGCCCATTTCACAAGGATGAGCATAGAGATGTTGAGAGCACCGAGATTTTGTTCCTTATACAGCGAGTGTGAGTGAGCGTTTTTCAAGACACGCCCATCATCCCTCTCATCCAATTTTTCGGCATTCAAAAAAGCGTCGTCATCTTCATTCCTGATATTGCCACTACTCGTTGAGCAGAGGCTTCAAAAATTTTTTGATTCAACCATGAATCGCATGATCATCATTTGCTTCATCGCACTAAGCTTCTTGCTTCCATCCGTACAGTTGCTGGAAACGCAACCAAGATTCAGGTATACCAATCATCGATTAATGGAATGCTGAAATTAATTCAATTTTCTATTTTTAAGTGTTTTCGAGGTGTGGCTCCAAGTGGGCTTGAAATTTAGTAGTATTTCTCACAAACAATGAGCATCAAAATAAAACCATTGATTCTTGAAATTCGGGTTTTTTGTCGAGAAATTGCGGTGGAGCAATTCGATTTGCTCAAATTCAATGATACATCTCAACAATTTGATTGTGTCGTCTTGACGGCACGAAAAGTCGAAGACCTCAAATTTTTCTTTCGTTTCAGTGCAAATATGATACGTCATCGTTTCGCAAAACCATTGATGTTCTTCAATAAAGACCCATTGAATGATGAAGTCCGCGATGCCCAGGAGCCATTTCAGCAAGTCAAAGAGCCAATAATCAAGCGCTTCAAGCCATGCTACTACTCGCCGATTCAATGCCTTATAAAGAAATAGATCGTCCTCCCCGACACTAGCATGAGCTTGTACATTCCTCTCATTTATTGATTGATTTTTGACATGCGAATAAATAATGTTGAATTGTGTTGAATGCTTATTTACAAATACACAGTATTGTTGACATCAAATCACATCTCTGAGCGTATTAACAACGCAAATCACCGAGTACTGAACAATTGAAATCTGATTAATTATCTCACGGAGCCGTTTTGGCGTGGGTTTCGAATTATAGCTATCAATCTGAATGTTTAAAAATTTGTCGAGATACTGAGAGAATCAACGAACCGCATTTGCAACGCCAGCCATTAGCGAATTCGAATAGGAATCTGAATCGCTGACGGAGAAGAGGACGTGACGCGCTGATGGATTGGTTGACGACACGCCACGCGGATTAATGAAGCAGCGTTCGGTGCTGAAAAATGAATTGGATTTGAATAAAAAAAACCATTTCTCGCGAGAAAACGCCACCTCATTAATCTGTCATTGACCGCGTTAATGTGCTTCGAATCATATGGGTTTTGCGAGAAGCTGTGCTCGGTGAAATGGATGGTTTCTTCGAATTTGCGCGACATATGAAGAAGATCCTGAAACATTAGCGAATTGCGGCGGAAAATTGGATTACTGATTAGTTTCGGCATGACTTGACTGAAAACATGACGTGACATCAAACAATTGAATCAAATCGGATTTTCTCGTAGAATTGTGACTGACACAGGAAATTTGAATTTCGCCTCAAAATTTTTGAGACGGCATAGATTTTGCTATGCATTTCAACAAGTAAAGAATTGACACAATTGCATACCTGCGATGATTTTGATAGCAATGCGTATTGGTTTTTGATATCGTCAAACTCTTTCTTGGTCACATTCAATCCAGAGAGTGAAGATTTCAACTGCGGAAGGTAAGACTTTATAAGGCTATTTGCCAAATTAGTAACATTCATTGGCAGTATTACATCATCAGCAAATGTTCTAAAAATTTCATTTTCTCATATATTCATTTTTTTCGAAATTTCATTGAATACCTTGCCAATTCCGCCCAATATTGCCCAATTGCTCTGTGAACAGCAAGGTTATCCGTATCCATTAGATGGATATTGGTGAATGGTGTCTCATACATTGTATGATATAACGGATAAGTATCAAATGTTGAGTAATTTTTGTAATTGAAATTGATTACCGGAACTCCTAAAACTGAAACATTGCAGATTCTTGATTAGTTCGTTTCGGACCTGCGTAGTTCAAAAATGGCGCGTGATCTGATCCGCCGCCCGGAATCGGCATTCTTGGCATTCCTGTCTTTTTATCCGGAAAAACTTTCATCCATGTATCATATACAGTAATCCGTCCGCGCGATTTCTCACGTTTCGAAGGATTGGGAACACGCTTAGAAGCTTCCACTGCAATATGCTCCATGGTTGGAATCGTGCTAACATGCCTAAAAAAGAAATATTAAAAAAAAAGATTTGCCCGAAAAAAATGTGCTTACAAGCTCGCATTTCCTTGAATTGTGTCCATATTAATGTAGACCACAGCACGTTTTTGGAGGATGTTCACAAATTCCTCAACAAATTCTGTTGATCCTATTAGCCCATATTCTTCAGCATCCCACGCGTTGAAAACAATTGTTCTTGCTTAAAAAAGAGACAACAAAATTTCTATGTGAATGTTGGTACGAAAATATTTTACCTGGCCTCCAACTAGTCTCATTGATTGTCTGCATCATGGCTCTCGCAACTTCCGCTAGCACAGCGGTTCCCGAGTTGGGATCAATTGAACCATAAACCCAGGCGTCGAAATGATTGCCGAGCATGACATACCGGTCTGGCTCTTGTGATCCTCGAATATATCCAATAACATTTCGAATGCGTCTTAATCATAATTGTTTGATTAAATGATGCTTATCAGATCAACTTCTTTTTCAACTCGCTATGCACATTAATACTGATCTTCTCATCATTTGTAAATCCGGGGCCAAGACGGTATGTCAAATTATAGCCAACAAGTCCTTGCCAATCTGACGGCACTGGTCTTCCTTTCATTCTTGAAAGAATTTCATAAGCAGTGGTGTAAGATATCGGGAGCACCGGGATTGTTGGGAGTACGTGATCATTTTTAGCCTTAATTTCAAGTTGATTAATAAATAATTTGCAGTATATGAATGCACTTCTTCAACAGTCCGCGACTTGAACAATTCTTTCTTTGAAGGATAGTTGGGACTGAGCGGATCACCATCTCCATGCATTAGCGAGCCGCGTTGAACTCCTTCATTCGGCATCCAGATTGTGTTCGGGTATACGTTTTCTGAAATGACCGCAACGTATTATCGCAATACCATAAACATACTTGGAGATGTTCCGTCCAAAGCGACATCAGATGGATCGGAAAAGAGAATTGCACCAATTGCGCCATTGAGTTGAGCCTTGTAAACTTTATCACCTCTGAATCCATGACCATATCGTATAAGAGCGATTTTGCCCTGAAAATTATTTCATAATATGATTATATATTATAATATTGAATTACTTTAATGTCAACTCCCATAAGTTTTAGATTCTTAAAATCATTTGCAGTCCCTCGATTACAGTATACCAACTCTGCCGAAACGGATCCATTTCCAGCATAGGCGAGCCATTGATGTCCAGCATCTGAAAAAAATTTCATTACCCTTTCTACAGGATGCTGATTTAAATTATTTAACTATAATTTTTATTAATAATGAGTTTGTTTTTTTAATCGTCATAGCTTTAAAATCTCGTGACCAATTCATACGCTTCGAGAAAATGATTGAAGAATTTTGAAAAGTATCACTATTCCACATTGAACCAAATGAAATGAAATTTAAATAATGAATGAACAAATATTTTTTAAGTTGTCCAAATCATCATATCTGCTTTACTATATGTATTATTAGGCATCAATTGAAAGAAAATTACGTTTTCCGCTTTGCTCATCTTCAATAATGACCGGCGATACTCCTTTGCTTCTAAACAATTCCTTTCCATATCGGTCTTGAATTATGACAGAATTTGGAATGTCAAAGTCCGGATATGATAGGAGGACTTCGTAAGAAAGTGTGTGAACATCATCAAGACCCGCTTCCGACCAGGCGTTTGCAATTGCATAGGCCACTTTTTTATTCGCGTCGGAACCCGCAAGATGAGGCTCCTGCGTGAAAATCCTCAAATACTTTTTGATGTTTTCCGCATTGATGTTCTCCAAAAGAGCCTCCGAATCGAAGCGATGAATGTCTGTAAATCAATTAGTGAACAGTTGTCGTGGCGCGATAACCGGTCGGCTAAACCACAAACAAATTCCGTTGTTATCAAAACCTATCTAGGCAGATAACCTCTCACACAATTGTTTACCCATTTTGTAGGATTGAAACACTCACCATGGATTGTCACCTTCTTATAATGATTGAAGCGTCGCTCGGAATGATGAAGACCGACAGCAGCGACACAAATGCAGAATACCAAAGAAACCGCGATGGCAACGTATGCTTTCAGCATCGGAATGCCAACTAAACTCTGCGAGCCTGAAAATTGAGAATGAGCGTATGACTGGTTCGGTGCCAGCTGTTCGGGTCATCTGCTAGTCGTTTTTTTTTGTGCATTGCGATATTCGAAAAATAGAACTGAACCTTGTTGTGCTCCAATTCCGACGTACGGCATTTTTCCAACACCTCACACACCATAAACTCTGCAAGACCAGTTTTCTCAGGACAACAAAAAGAATTGGGGCGAAACACAAGAAAAATGTGAAAGAGAATTTGAAAAACGGCAATCAAATGCACACTTAAATTTATATCAACGCACCTCCCCCCAAGCCCCTCGCCCCAATATTGTCTCTGTTATCGAATGTTGGACAGTTGTTTGATACTCCATCATCTGGCAGAGCTTCCCAAACATCATGTAGTATGTTCTCGACGGAGGGAGATTGGTGGATAAACAATTCACTTCATATTTATAGGTTTTATTATTTATTACATTTCCCGTATTCCAGCGTGATGGCAGTACATAATAACATTCCAATTATACAAACATGTGACATCTTCTTTGGTGATTCGGTCGATCGCGGTACCCGATGGATCGCACATTCGGAGGCATCTTGAGCCGACCTGAAAAATTAGTTTTATGCAGATTTTTCCTACGTTCATTTTAAATATTTATGCTGATAAGAATGTACTTTATGTTTATCAACTTTAGGCACAATCTTGTATAACTTTTTAACTCCAAAAATTATTTTTGAACAAAGGTTTTGATAAGAAAAAATTGAATGACTTGCCACTATGAATACGTAATTATTTAGGTGAGAAAAATTAAAAGATTATCTCAAAATCAGTTTACACTCTGGTAGGCATTTGCGATGGATATCTAGATGACGCGGGCAAGATAAGAAGAATTTTGCAGTTTTAGCTTCTCTTAAAAAATCAGCTCTCAACTACACTCTAGTGTTATCATTTAATGCCCCCATTTGTCAAAATTTGCTTGATTTTGATAGTCACCTGAAGTTGTGGTGCGTTCAAATCCAAATCCAGGCAACATTTTCTATTGTCCCGATTTTGACTGGCACAATACAGAATCGACGACAAGTGTTTGATGCGACATTGGCTGTCCTTCCGCAAGTTGACAAGCTGTAAATCATCATTTAATGTAGTGACGGGTGAACAAGTGTTGTGACACCGCGAATCGAAATCCCCAACCGATTGGAATCTTGTCAAGCGGCAAAAAAAAACTGCTGTTCGTTTCAACGCGATTGGGGGGGGGGTTTGAGCAGAAATTTCACCGTTTTGCAATTTTTAAACAAGAAAGATTGATATATATTTAATTAAAAATATCTAAAAAAAAAAAACAAATGATTACCATATTTCTTGTAACAGTTTGATCGGTCTCATATACGCACATGTGATGACACTCCTCAGGAACATATAAATGACAGCATGCCAAGAACAGCTTATTCGCAATGCCTTTTGACGTGCATGGCTGATAATTGACCTCGGCAGTTCCGCATTTCCCCTGAATGCCAATTTATTGTTTTAATTGAAAGTTATTGGTTAATACAATTGGTATTCGCGGTGCTAATCGCCTATCTTTGCTAATTTTACGAGAGTAGACGGCGATTTTTCTGTCTGGACAATTTGCCATAATGTAATTGTAGCATTGTCTGGGTAATCGGCAGCCAGGTTTCAATGCAATATTACAACATGTTCCTGAAGTGAAGCGATGACAAAAAATTGCATTTTCAACGTGAATACCTCTTTTAACAGCTGGACACTTCTTCTCGCCGGCTATGGTGTATGGTGTAAATGCTAATAGTATAAATAATGGATAAAGAAGCATCTGAATAATATATGAATTGGTATGAGGTAGTTAACAAAACGTTGCAAAACTTAGGGGGGGGAATGCTTGATTAAGTAATAGAAAACGAAATGAATGAAATTAGGCCAAATTGTGGGGGCCGTGTAGTTGATGAAGACGAGAAAAGATGGTGGCCAGAGATAACTTGGGGAAGATGATCTTCTCCATATTGTGATCCCGGCGATTTTCATTTGGCTATCTTGAATTGATTTCACCAGTCACGGCCCAAATTTGTCACTATTAATTGCGGACGGCCCGACGGTAGCGTCGAAACCGTTTTAACACGCTCGTAATAAATGTTGCGCACGTACACCGCGGCGAACAAAATTGCATTTCCGATTGACACCGTCGGTGCTTTGCTTTTATTTCATGCAATTCGAAAATCTCGAGAAAGAGACAATCATCGCGTTACTTAGGTGGCTGAGAGAAGCTTCTAGTTAATTAGTTCGTCGGAAACCCGACTTGGCGACAGCACACAATCTCAATCGCATGTTAACGAATCCTAGAACATACACATATGTATGTAGTTTAAGAAAATAAAGAAAGAGGTTTGTTGGTCATTTCGGTTTCAAATTTTTTTATAGACAATTCAAAATATCGACCACACTGCATACAATTACCGAACATAGCGCAAACCTCACGTCAATCTACCGCGAAGTCCTAGTTTATGGCTGTTTCGCTTTTTATACAAGCCTTGATTATCTCATTATAAGCTTTGCAATTCTAAATAAAGCCCAATTGGGATACAAAATTGATGCTAATATTCATTTCTCGCTATACACAGTCCCAAAGTTGTCATTAATTAGCAAAATTATTTTGAATCGTGTTAATCGAACAATCAAGATTCATTGAAAATGGATACTTATATTTATAACAAAAAAATTATGTTGTTTTCTTGTGATCATTTCCCAACAAAAATGTTGAAATAAGGATCATCGCGATGGAAAAGACAATCAGAAAACCTGAAATTCGCTTAATTCAAAGCTAAGTTTTATAAGAATTTTGACATACTTCCGACGCCAACCGCCACCCAGCAAATTATCTTAACCGTTTTTACCGGGGTGAACAATTGCGAATTTAATTGGTCTTCGGTGTTTTTGTCCATGTAGAATGATTCATTCAACCAGACAAGTGGATAGGCTCCCGGTCGCATGACAGACAATGACCTGAAGACGGTCAGATAGCAATGTTGAATGATTCTGGCGAAACCTGATCTTCTTGAATTGATTGACAAGCACATTGATTTGAAGCTTCTTTTTTGCTTGCAGTACAGTTCCAGTGTTCTACAATTATAAAATTTGCTGAATTTTTTTTTGAATCTCACCGGCTCGATATCAATTTGGGTTTCATCATCATCATAATTTGGCTTGAATCTTGGTACAAATCTCTCAACAAGATGATCGGCTTGATAGAAATGCGGTTTTGATATAATAATAGGAGCCCCTTGATTGCAATTGCTCACATCTAAAAGGCCGCTTGGAAGGCAGGCAGACTTTGGTGGATTTTCGTATGCTCCATATTTCAATGGAACACAGAAGCTGGAAATTGGTGTGATTTTTTTATTTTCATATTGATCACGATACCCGCAATTTTCTTCCAATGAGTAATCAAATTCGCTAGATGGCAAATTAAATCGATATGCGGAAAATCCTTTAACATTTACATCTCTGTCGTAGGTCAAAACAGCCGATCTTCAAAAAAAAAGACATGGAATATTTTTAAATTAATTGGCAAAATATAACCGGCAAACATCCGAAATATAAACTGGAAGCTTGTCCTCTCGAGTGACAAAATTTTTGAAAAAATCCGCATCTTAAAAAGGAGTATTATAGAAGCTTGTTGTAGAATGGTCCCTACTTGTTCCCTCAATTTTCAATGCATGCTCGGCGTCTTTACAAAATGTCAAATTTGCCGATGGCCACCAAACACTTGGCAATTGATTCCCATTACTTGGAATTGATGCATTCGTCATATTTGTGAAGCCAACTATGTATCCAGCTTTAAGAGGGTCTGATTTTCCTGTTAAGACCGTGTAAATTGTGTCACTGGACGCATTAAGTGCCTTAATTAGCGAAATTATTTCTGTTGATTAATCATACTACGCACATTTAAGGCAATTGGCGGTGATGCAAATGGCTTCAAAAGCGTATGTCCAAGTATAAAGTCGAAGATATCAACCACTTCATTCAAAAATTTATCAAGGAACGGTGTTGTATAGCCAGAAAACAGCAGCTGGTCGACGTTCTAGTGAGCTAACTTCAACCTCTTATAATTTTAACTTGTTCCTACCACAGTGACGAATGGAGATACGTCGAATAAGCTTACAAGTACACCGAGCTCAGCTTCAATAGTCACTGCCAATTGTTGGCAAGCTTTTTTAGGATCGTCAACATTTCTTTTTTTCATTATAAATTCACAAGCCATGATTGCGGTTGGATTTTTGAAAAGCGACTCAACTATGGAATCCAATTGATCCATTCCTAACTGGAAGCCGATATCGGGAATCAGTACCTTATCCTTATATGGATCACAATCTGAACGTCAATTGGAACGCGGACTAATATGAAAAGATGAAACCTGCACATGACTTGTTCGGATTGAAGACGAATGTCTGCACCTTGCGAAATGTCATGTATTCGCCATCTTCGGTGAAATTAATATTATCCATTGTTATGATTTCACTAAAATAATGAACTGTGCTTAATCTCTTGTGTGAATTTTACATACTCATAGGCATAAGGCCCTTTTTCAACAACATCGGGAAATATTGCGCGATTCATGATTCCAATAGTGTTTGTATAATTGAAAACCCAATATTCCATTGTGCTAATATAATTGTTGTTAGCCCAACTGTCAGTGAATGAATTAAGTGTTCCATCGCTGTTTAATCCAAGCACTTTTTGCTATAATTTGTATTTTTATTGATTAAAAAAAAACAATGTTAATAACATACATCGTTAATTTGATTGTGCACAATATTTGGGAAAACTCCAAGAACAATTACAAGTCCAGCGACTAATAATAATGCTCCAACAATAAATAGTATAAATGCCACAGTCTGGCATATACAAGTCCGACTGGCCATTGCCCCTATAACAATTTGAAGCGGAATAGATCGGAATTCAATTATTTAGAAACATGAGAATATACATAAAGAAAGTTAATAGTAATCATAAACATATAATATGCATAGTTAAGAGACCAATAATTCTAGAATATGATAAACTTGTTTCAATGCGAAATTGGCCCATTAAAGAAATTCAGCCGTGGCACATTGATAACAGTCACAATGATACGATGGTCAGCGTGCGTTTTATCAGTTCACATTGGCTCCTGCTTCACAAATTTTTGTGTTGGTGTCGGTTTGAAAGAATTTGGTCAATAAAAGTGCTTCATATCTTGACAATAATTTTGTTAAATTATGCGGTGAAAATACAGCAATTATTCGGCATTTCCGTCGTCTTTCTTCTCAGAAGATGCCATTTTTTTGTTGCCATCAATATCATTAGGAAAGTTGTCGGAATCAGTCAATTCGAGATATTCACGGTGAGCCAAATCGGGTCTGAAAAGATTTCATTCAATCCAAAACTTTTCAACATTCATTTTATTACCCTCCGTTATATCGAATTCCATGAACTGTTCTGTCAAGAACATCAATAACCTCAGTCTTGGTTATCGGCTTGCCCTCATAAACTGATTCATTGCCATAAATGGATGCTGAGGTAGTCGGAAGATCGTCCTTTTTCGGCTTCACCTGGTTCGCCTCCCCAAAATCACGAGCCATTAATGCTTCATGAATGCGGCGTTGTCTGAAAAAAATTTCGTTTCAAAATTCAAAAAGTTTCACTTGCTCTTCCATCACATGAGGATTAGAAGTGAGCTCAAGAAGTAAGCGATCATCGTCATCGGAAACGTGAAGAGACTCATGCATTTGAACCATTATATCGTTCATCATTCGATGTTGCTCCAACATGAACGCGGTGTCGCCGGTGAACTCATCGATGTCAGTCACCATCTCATAATAAGATGGACGGCCTGGAAATAGTGAGTGTGAGAAGTGAAAATGGCCCAATATATTTACGTAGACGCAATTCCGACAAACTCTCCTCGGCAGCTTCTTCTTCCGGCTGAAATTCAGAAGCTTAAAATGGTATCAAATCTTTAGCCTACATTTTCCACAATGTTTTGAAGTTTCTCCTTTACTTCTTCGGCCTTTTTGACTTCATCGCCTACTGGATCAGCATCGCGTTTCTCGCTCATCGTTAAAGCTTGATAAAGTGTTCTTTTTTCTGTTACCTAAAACATTCCTTAGTTGATGAAGAAAAATGAAATTGAATAAAGAAGGACCAACATGTTAAGCGAATAATTGAGTTCAATTGAAATTCTGTATGTGCGTTTGATTATGGGCAACGTGTGGGGAGTTCATAGCTTTTTCCTTGTATCAAACATCAATAAAGGAACATATTGGAAGATGGAAAACCAAGATTATAGCTAGTAAAAGATTGGATTTTCAATATATTTTCAAAAAATTCGCAATGTTTACATTCAATTTTTCAATAAAGAAATGCCGAGTGAGGCAAGATGTGAGGAAAAACATGAGAAAATGATTTACAAATATTCTCCAAATGAATTGGCCTCGAAACATCTGCGTGAATCATTTTTTTCAGCTCAAATATGCACGCTATTTCGATTAGTGGCATCTAATAAATTAGCAAAAAAAAAGTGTTCGCCTATCGCAAGAAAAAAATTGCACTTTGAGGACGGCGTCCTAAATGGTACCAATTTTGTATGTACTTTCTCCCTACTATATAAATAAAAGATTTGCATGGAAATTTGACATTCATTCCTCTCAATGTTGCCATTTATTGGTAACTATAAGACAAAAGGTACCGTATGCGGCGTAAACAACACGATTATTAGGTCTATAATAACGAATCCGCTCGCATTTCTCTAATGAGCTGCAATTCGCCCGAGAACGTTGCATTTCCCATTACGACACAATTCGTACCGTATTGAACAACTATATTGTTTTCAGAAACCAACGTCAAGAACCAAATGTCGGTTTGTCTTGTTGGAAGTTGGGTTAAAATACCTAACGGCGATGATGAATTGGAAATGGCGGAAAACGTCTTTCTCAATCGGTTAGTTTTTTTTATTTAACAAAAAAATTAAGCAATCAACAAACACAAAAATAAAGCTGGCTTTATGATAATTAAACATTATGTCGGAAGAAGGGAAATGGTTTGCACTTTGGGATAACTCAAACTATTGCCAATTCATGCCGATGTCTGTTACTTATCTTGAAAAAAATCGGCCTCCTTGAAAGGGAAAGTAGTGAAAATGAATGTTCAAGTTGATTTTGCAGTGATAATATCAAAAGCATCCCCGAGGATCGCGAATATTTAAGCGATTTTCGAAACCAACACCCGGATGTTAAGGCTGCATTGGTTGAAGGAATTGATTGCTTCGATGACCAATACTTTGGGGTGAGTTGGCCATAAAAGCAGATATGAAAACGAGCATAATAAAATGGAGAAAACGCCTTGAATTTTATGTCGATTGGTTTTTTAAAGTAATAATTATGCATAGAATGTGTTTCTATAGAGATCACCAAATAAAAAACATAACGCGAGAAAATCAACAAAAATAATTATAGACTGGCGAATCGGAGGCGATCTGCATGGACCCGCAGCAAAGAATGTTGATGCAAGGAGTGATTCATGCTTTGGAAAATTCGGGCATCACTATTGAAATGGCATCTGAAGCGCGTGTGGCGGTGTACACCGCCGCATGGGCGTATGATTATAAAGATCTGCTCCCACCCGATCAATATATGGCCACTGGAAATTCGGCAAGTGTAATGTGTGGAAGGTGAGATTGAATAGCATGGAAAAAATGATCACAATGTATATGAAACGATAAACATTTCACAGAATCACATATTTCTTGAATTCACGCGGCGCGGCCGTTGGAATTGAGACGGCGTGTTCGTCATCGCTCGTCGCCTTTCATTTGGCAAGGCAAGCGATATTGACGGGAGAAGCCAAGATGGCATTAGTGTGCGGTGCAAATCATGTCGGAGCAAGGTGACAGGAAAACTTGGCAATGTTTGAATGAATCAGTATTGCTTAGATCGTATCACTCTCTTTACAATTCGCACATGGTGTCCCCAAATGGACGACTAGCTGCATTCGATCGTTCTGCAAATGGCTTCGTGCGCGCTGAATCATTTGCTGTGGCTGTTCTCTGCTCTCATGAGTATGCCGAACAAAACGGACTCAAGATTCATTGTCATTGTGTTGGCTCGGCTTTTAACAGCGACGGTAGAACTCCATCGTTGACGGCTCCAAATCCAATTTCGCAATATGAGGTTTGAGAAGTTAGCCGTTATTCTAATTACATCAGTTTTTCTAAAGGTTCAATTGGAAGCCATGTCCGGAATTGACCCGAAAACCGTGCAGCTTGTCACCTGTCATGGGACCGGTACAAAACTTGGAGATCAAGTCGAAGTCACCGCAATCAAAACGTCTTTCAAACCAGATATTCGAGTAATGAGCCCAAAAAGGTGAATGCGTTACTGATTTATTTTAATGAAAATATTGATTACAGTTCTCTTGGACATGGCGAAGGAGCTGCCGGTTTGATTGGAGTCCTTCAATCACTCTATGCAATGGAGCATTCGATCATTCCAAATCAGCTTCATCTTCAACTCCCAACAGCAGATCTTGGTGAACAAATCTCCATGGTTTTTGTGAATGAGGAAGTTGACTTGAAACGCCTTGCTATTAGTTCGTATGGATTCGGTGGCACCAACTGTTGCGCTATTCTCGATAAGCCAGAAGAGAAGAAAAAGATTTCTGAAGCTTATGCTGAATCGAAACTTCTCATGCTTTCGGCGAAGAGCTTAGAAGCATTGAAGTTGACCATCGACCAGTACACCTCTTTCATGAATGAAACTGACAGTCAACTTGAAGATATTCTATTTTCGGTCAACGCCAGAAAAACGAAATACAACGTTAGAGCAGCAGTGTTTGGAAAAAATCGCGAAGAAATTGCAAGAAAACTGAAATCCGGCGACTATTTCATGACTTCACTTTCACAAAAAAATGGTGAGATGACCATATTGAAGTAAAATCAATCATAGTAATGTTTGCAGACACGTTCGAAGTTGAATTCGGTGAGGGCAATGAAAAATTGTGGCTTCTTCGCATGCTGTATGAGAGCAATGAAACATTCCGCTCCGCTGTTGACAAATACTGTGCTCTTGCCGAATCTTGTGGATTCCCGGAAGCACGTACAGCTCTATTCTTCCCATTCAAATTGGCATTAACTCCGCTTACATACAACGTGTCTCGATTGATTTCAAGCATGGCGACATTCCAACTACTTGTTGAATATAAAACTCCGCCAACGGTGGTCCGCGGAAAAGGAATGGGCCATATATTCGCCTTAGTTGCTTGCAATGTAATCTCCTTCCAAGATGGCGTTAACTTGATAAAGACGGTTGTCGCTGATGGCGACTTAAAGACAGTCCTTTCAAAAATCGACATGAAATCTTCCAAGCATCCAATTTCTGTCGGAACGAAGGCAACAAAAAAGATAACGAATCAAGAAATTAATGATGAAATCAATGCAACCGCGTTGCCGAATCTAATGACTTTCAAGGTCAACGATAATGTGGTCAATGAAACCGATCCAATTAAGAAAGTTCAAGTTCTAATGGGTATGCTGTTTGTATCCGGCTTTGATGTTGAAATCAAGTACCGCGGATCAATTGTAAGAACTCCGGGTTACACATTTTTGAAGAGAAGATTCTGGCCAACACCTCAACCGGTTACAAGTACTGAACCGATAAAAGAAACTGATGAGATTGAAATCGACTATGCCACTGCGGTAAAAGAGATTGTGCAAAAATTTCTGGAAATTGACGATGAGGACCTAAACCTACTCGAATCTGGAAATGTTGACTCGTTGACATCAATCGAAATGATTGAGGCGATTGGAACAGCTACAAATCGAGTTATGCCTTTCGACTTGCTTGATAATTACCCAACGACTCGTGCGATTATTGAATATCTGAATTCTTTGGCGGAAACAAAAGCATCGACAACGAAAACTTCTCATGTTGCCAAGCGCAGTGTATCATCAGCATCCGGTAAAGCAAGTGTGATCGCTTGCGATTTCAAATTTGCTGGAGTTGATGGCGAGAAAGAATTGTGGAATACCCTTCTTACATCAAAACTGGTCACTGGAAAATTGTCGGAAATCAGAGAAAAACAAATCGAAGGAAATCCTGGCCTAAACGTTGGACTTCTCAATCAAGATATATCGCTTTTTGATAACTCATTTTTCTCCATTGCCAATGATGAAGCTGAATTTATTGATCCGCAACACCGGCTTCTTCTTCATTCCGCTCACAATGCCTTAGAGAAGTCCGGATTTCAATCCATCCCCGATGCCGATTTGTTTCTCGCAATTAGCTCGCATTCAGAATATCGTGCTCTTGCTGAGAAGCGTGTCGATGAACTGGATGAAAGACTTTGGATGGGTACTGTTCACAGCATGGCTGCTGGCAGACTTGCTGCTTATTTCGGAATTCGCGGTCGTGCAATTCTTGTGGACACGACGTGCTCATCTATTGCCAGCGCCTTGGAAATGGCCGTGGAGTCAATTCGAAATGGAAGAAAGTATGCAATTGTGGCGACGAGTCAACTCATTCAATCATCTCGCTGGTTGAGCTCGCTTCAAGGTCTTCTTGATCACAATAGCACCAAGTCGTTCTCAGCGGATGGCGCCGGATTTTGCCGATCTGATGGTGTCGGTGTTATCATTCTCAAGGTAAATATATATTATGAAACAATTCTTATTCGAAATTTAGTCTTATGAGAATGGAGATGCTTCGCTACTCCAAATTGGCGATGCTAAGAGCCATCACAGTGGAGCTGTGATAACTCCAGTTGTGAGCGCCATTTCTCAATTGCTCGAGAATGTCGGAGACATAACCTACGTTGAAGGTAATTCATATAAATAATATATTCTCAAAAATTAAAATTTATTGAAGGTCATGGAACGGCGACATCAGCTGGAGACAGTGCCGAATCAATGGCCTATCAAAAACTCGGACGAGAAATTGTCATGTCTTCGGTGAAGGCGCAATTCGGACACAGCGAAATCGCATCAGGACTTATTCAGCTTATGAAGGTTTCTGCTTTAACCAGAACTGGAATAATTCCAGCATGTGTGCATGTTGCACTTCCAAATGAACACATCAGGTATTTGTTGTCAACAAAATGTATATTGATGAAAGCCATGCTTCAGAGAAAATCCGAAAATTCGACTACCATTTGTTTCCGAAGAGACAAATGTCGAAAAAGCAGCCATCGTCTCATTTGGAATTACTGGAACGAAAACGGTGGTAGCGGCTGAGAAAGCGGATATTTATGAAAATATTTGGACACCAAGTTGCTGCCTTCTTCCAATTAGCGCAAAGACCAAGGATGCCCTCAAGAAATTGATCGAATCTTTCATTGAAATGCTAGCCAATACCAATGAGGACTTGTATAGCATTTCGCTTACGATGCAAAAGCAGAAGACCCAATTCAAATGGAGAACTGCTGTTGTTGGAACACATCACTTCAATGTCATCGACAAATTGAAGCGGTAAATTCGATTTGCCGCAAAAAAAGTTTCATCTCTAATTTGAATTGTTTTAGAGTGGTCGCGGATGATTTCAAGATGAACGTTCAGAACTGGCACGTCTGCACCAATCCATATTCTATCAGCTGCGATTCATTCTTCAACGATATTCCTGAGTTTGAGAAGCGATACTCAGCATTCTGTCAGAGATTGCGATTTGAACCTCACTCGGATCCCGCCTCATTGTATCATTCAATGGCAGTGAGCTACGCTATCGTCAAAATGATTATCACCCATCGGATTACTAAACGATTCGCTGTATCGGGCTTCAATTCTCTGGTGTTGCTTGCCGCAGTTGATGCCGCTCCTTCTCATTACTTGAATGATTTAATGAATTCATTTGCCAACAACGATATTAGAATGATGAAGAGGATCGCCAGAGATGTCACGATTCAAATTGACAACATTGAGATCTTCGATTTCAATGGCGTTCCGATCACTACGGCGCGTCACGCAGTGGATGCAGCGATTCAAGATTGCCCAGGAAACTTTAAGTTCGATCAAGACATTTTGTTACTATCTCAATTTGAAGAGCTTCGAAATGTCGAACCGCTTCAGACGTGCTCCGATTACTGGCAATATGTTGCGCAGAAATATGTTCAAGGACAAGCTCTCGACTTTCCGTCTCTTTTTGAAAATCCTTGCAAATTCATCGAGCTGCCTGAATATCCATTCAATCGAAAATCATTCTGGCTTCCGATTCCCGAAACACACGAAAATGCAGCAATTGATAGCGCACAAATGAGCGTAAATGAATTCCTACTGAATTCCGAAAAGTGGAAGCATGTAAAGAATCACGTTGTGGATTCGAAAATCGTTCTACCTGGTGCAACATCCATGAGAATTGCATTTGAGTATAACGGAAGGAAGCCGGTTAGCCTTACGAACATTGATTTCTTGAACAAGATACTTCCGAAGGAGATTTCAATGACAGTTGCTGTAAATGTTGAAAATGGCCAATGCACTCTCTCATTCGATGAATTGGATGCCATCAGCTATAAGCTGAACGAAAATGTTAAAATAACACCAATCACCAAGGAAAACCTCAAAGCTGAAGAAAAATATACGGATGATATTTATTTACGATTTGCTTCCAGTCAACTAGTTTATCGCAATCAATTCCAAATGCTTGATTCAATGAGGCATCGCAACGGACATGGGGAAGCAAGATTCAATGATTTAGCAGATTTGGATATTCTTATTGATGGAACTCTTCAAGCAATTGTCATGAGCTACATGTTTGAGAATCCTGAAGACGAGAGCCCATTCGTGCCATTTACTATTGACAGAATCACTATTATCAATGACAATCTTGCGGGAAAACAGCTTCACACATCCTTGACATACTCGAATACGGATGTATTTATCACGGGAAATGCTACCGTTTATGATCAAGATCATAATGTTATTATTCATATTGAAAATGTCACATTCAAAAGATTGAATCCGAAATCTGCTCCAACTTCTGTTGTGAAATCGGCTATTATAAAATCGGGAAAACAGAACGAAGAAGCGAGGAAGGAAGCTCGGAAGCATTTGCACAATTGGTTCGAGGAGAATTTTGGATGGACCGAGATCGACGACACTGTGGGATTCTTTGATCTCGGTTTGACTTCAATACAAGCAGTAAAACTGCGCAATGCCATCAAGTCGCAATATCCAGATGCTTCTTCCACGTGTATATTCGATTACCCGAGTGTTCAAGAGCTCTCAACGTACCTGTCCTCCTTGGTGCACCCAATTGATTATCAGGAGTCTGAAGCTGACAAAGAAATCGATGAGCTGGAGGAAGACCAACAACCTACAAGAGTGGCGCTCAACCCAATTGGAGTGATGGCCGCTTCGTGCCGTCTACCCGGAGGAATCACTAGTCCAGAAGAGCTCTGGCAATTGCTCAAACTTGGCATCAATGCATCTTCAAGAATTCCGGCAACTCGAATTCCAACAAGAAACAATCTCATTCGCGGTAATTAATTATTAATGATTGCCAACATTTTTTAAAAAATATTACAGGTGCAAAATATGGAAACCCGGTCGAAGGTGGAAACTTCATCACCCAAGACATTTCACTATTTGATCCCGCGTTCTTCAAAATTTCGAAGAGTGAAGCCGAAATGGTGGATCCACAACAAAGAATTCTTCTAGAATGTGTTCAGGTAGATGAAAAATTTTTGAACGCTACGCAAAATCAAATTTTTAACTTTAGGAATGCCTTGAAAACAGTGGAGTGACGGAAACCAGTGATGTCGGAGTGTTCGTGGGATTAATGGAGAAAGAATATCAAGAAATGATGGAATCTTCATCAATTCTCTCGATGCTGGGATCGATGGCTGCTGTGATTGCAGGACGCGTGAATTACGTTTTTGGATGTCATGGTCCATCCGTGACAATTGATACAGCCTGCTCCTCATCACTTGTTGCTCTTGAAATGGCAGTGAATGCTCTTCTTGATAAGCGATGCTCAAAAGTTATTGTCGCTGGTGTCAATCTAATCTTGAACGAAAAAGGACAAGGCCTACGAACAAATGGAAAAATGCTTTCTCAACATGGAATGTCATTGAGTTTTGATTCACGAGCTTCCGGTTACGGAAGATCCGATGGATGTGTGGTTCTGATGCTCGAATTGGCCAAACCAAATTACCACTACATGTCAACAATTCAAGCAGTCAATGTCAACCATGGCGGAAGAAGTGTATCTTTAACCGCGCCAAACGGTGTTGCTCACAAAATGCTTCTCACTTCAATTATCAATGCGAGCCCATCATTAGCTATTGATTATTGGGAGGCTCATGGCACTGGAACACCACTAGGTGACCCAATCGAGTTCAATACATTGTCGTCAATCCTTCAAAATATATTAATTGGATCCGTCAAAGCGTCGCTGGGTCATGGCGAAGCATCGGCGGGAACATGTGGACTTCTTAAACTTTTCCTAATGCTCACATATCAATACGTGCCAACTCTCATTCATTTCCATGTCCTCAACAAGGATATCAATTCGGGGTCAATTCGCCTTCCGATTATTGGAGAAGACGCGGAATTGACATCAGCTGGAATCAGCTCATTCGGTGTTAGTGGAACTAACGCTGCGGCCATCGCCTTCAACGACAACAACAAATTGGAGCCATACACGACCATTCACAAAACTTATATTTTGCCGATATCGGCAAAAAATCAATTTTCAATCGATGGACTTGAAAAGGAAATTGTGAATGTTCTTCCAGTCACTGATGTGCCAATAAGCCACGTGGCAAGCACATTGGCTAATAATCGTATGCATTTCAACATTCGAAACGCTTTGCTCGTAACGTGCTCGGGTCGTATTTTGCAAAAGTTTGCCGGAAAGAATCAAAGAATTGTGAAAAAGGAGCGATATCGTGTCAAATTGGGGAGAGGTCTCTTTGAGCCAAGCCTTCTCCAGTTTGATCTAATCAATGAGATGTATACGGTAGCATCGTTGAAGAACCCGCAACACTTTGCGTTGAAGTATAGCATTGTAAAGTTCATCACTTCACTGTCCAGCTACATCCAAGTAATTGCCAATGACACAGATGAGCTGCTCTCAATTCTTCTCGCAGATGGAACCTTGCCATGGAGCAAATTGAGCTCAGGACTATTTGAGAAAACACCTGGCTCATTGCTAAACGAACTCGCTGATATGAACATCACTATCGCCAATAACACCCATGTAAAGAACTTCCAAACCAGCGCTGATGTGAAGGAAGAGGTTCATAGTCTTGAAGAATTGAACAAGTTTATTATAAACATGTACATTAATGGCTACGACATTGATTGGAGCAATGTGTACACTCCGGTCCAAAAATACATTAATCTGCCCAACTATTACTTTAACAAACAGCCAATTTGGTTTGAAGATCGCGGCAAAATCTTCGATCATTATCTGATTGGTTGCATCGAAGAAAACGTCAAGGACAAACTTGTGTTGAAAAACTGGATAACTGAGCTTCGTCATCGATATCTGTTCCGCGGAAGACCTATCGATGTTGGCACCATCTTTGAGATTGCCATCGAAGCGCTTAAGGTTCAAAACGAACTGCCATTCTCCCTACAGAACCTTACGACCAATCAAATTACACTGACGAGACCAGCGTGGCTGAGGACGGAAATTGAGAAAAATTTGGATGAAGAAGCATATAGTGTTAGCGCATATATTGAAGAACAACTTTTGTTCACATTAACTGCCACACCATATTCGCAAGATGAAGTCGAAACTCCAGCAGTGGACGTGCGAATTCCAGAAAAAATTGTCCATTTGCCCGATTGTCCGAGTGCAATCATCCGCAGGAATTACAATACTTATTATGTCGATTCAACCGCCGAGGTTTCACCATTTCGAACAGCAAATTTGGTGCTCAATGAAATTATTGGATTTGCTCCCAATCCTTCAGACATGTTCCTCGAAATTCTTGGAGGCTTCCCATCGGTTTACTATATGGTTCGCCTTGATGATGGCGCACTTTGGCAATTCCAGGTAATTTTGAATAATAGATATGAATTTCGAATTTTCGTATTCTTTAGATTCTCTCTGCCAATCGTGATGTGCTGTCAAACGTCTACATATTGAAGGACGCCAAAGGATTGGACATTCCAACAATAAAAATGCATAAAAAATCAACATTGTTGTCATCTCAAGAGGCCGCCGCGGTGGCAGCGAAATCGCTTCAGCTGGATATCCGTCAAAAAGTCCGAAACGCTTTTAATGACGTCATCGATAGCGGAATGGAAATTGATGATAGCCAAATGAGTACCGGATTTACTGAGCTCGGCATGGATTCGCATGCCACCGTTGATCTACTCAACCGCCTCAACCAGAAATACTTCAGCGACATCGAATTGACCACCAGTGATTTGTTTGATAATCCGAATATCGAAGATTTGTCGGTGAAAATTGAAGAGCTTTTAAGAGAAAAGGGCATTAGCAATTTGCCATCAGCAAATCCGACACCAAAAACATCATTGAGAGAGCGGAAATTGTCAATTCCGGCCAATCGGCATCAAGAGCTCGCTCAAATTGAGTTCGTCCAACAGTACAACGAAAGTGAAAATAGACATAATGTGAATACAAACGAAACGACAACGCATGATCAAGATGAAATCAAACGAAAAATATCGACCGCCGTGATGGATATTGCCACCGAGACGGTCACCGCCGAAGACCTTGAGATCAAAGGGTTCACCGAGCTCGGAATGGATTCACTTTCAATTGTCGACTTTGTGAATCGATTAAATGAAAAGTACTTCCCTGGAGAAGAAATCAACACGAGCGATGTGTTCGATTACTCGACGGTCGAGGAATTGGCAAAACACATTTCAAATAAAAAAAGGAGTGTCGTCGAAAAAAAAGGAAATGAGACAGCGAGGAACCGAAACGAGGATGATGGAATTCAAGAAGTACATCTGTCTCAAGCCTATGTTTTGATTGAGGACGATACGATAACAGGGTTTGATTGGACATTTAGACATTTCAAGGATGGACTATTCCAATTGGCCGAACATGGAAGTAGTGAGAACTCAATGATTATTAGTGGAGCAGGTCCATTAAAAGAAGATGATCTTTCAAGAAACCTGTCCAATAAGACAATCTTGGTAGATCTGGATGACTTCAACGGAATTGTTGAAAATTTGTATCTTGCTCTTCTCAATTTGGTGAAAGCACTATCAAAAGGAAAAGTAAATTGTAAATTTACGGTGTCTCGAAATTTTTCGCTTGGGAACACCATTGCAAGAGCCTTCTTAAAAACGGTGACCGCTGAGAAGTATCCAACTATTCAATATAACTGGAACCAACGAATTCAACAAGTTTCTGCGTTTGAGAGCAAACAACCAATACGAGGATCTTGGCTGATTACTGGAGGATTGAGTGGAATTGGATTCGAAATTGGAAGATACATTGCGAACAATGGCGCTCAAAATGTAATACTTGTCAGTCGAAGAAGTCCTTCTGAAGAAATCCTAAAAGATATCTCGACATGGAAGTGCAAGGTGGGGAGTTTTTCAAAAATCATGGGAACAATCTTATATTCCTACTACTCATCATTTCAAATGAAAATATTTCAGGTCTACACAATTGCTGCTGACATTGGAGATAAGGCGACGCTTATAAAAGAGCTGAGCAGAATCAATATCAAAATAACGGGTGTTGTTCATTCAGCTGGAGTTTTGAAAGATTCGAAGATTGAGCGCCAAACGAAAGAAACTTTCAATCAAGTTTTTAAACCAAAAGCTGATGGATGTAATGTTTTGGAGGAAATTGAGGAGCATTTCAATTATGATGTAAGAAAATCACAAATATATTATATAATACAGAAATCTTCTAGTTCGAGCATTTCATAATGATGTCATCGTTCACCTCAGCATGTGGTAATGAAGGTCAACTAAACTATGGAGTTGCAAATGCTTATTTGGAATACCAGGTACTGGCATTTATTGTTTTAGACGTCCATTTCATTTCTTCTAGATCAAAAAGCGTCGAAGTGCTGGAAAATCAGGATGTGCCATTCAGTGGGGTAACTGGATCGATACTGGAATGGCAACAAGCCCAAATATCCGAAAATTCTTGGCAGATCTTGGATTTTTGGGGCAACATAACAATGATGCTCTGAAATATCTTCATATGTGCATTGAGAAGCAGCCAGAAGTTATAATGATTGCCAATATCAATTGGGATCTGATCCTCAAGAATCGAAAAGATCTTCCGAGAAATTTGATTGTCGAAGGAATTCGGAATCTGGATGAAATCATAAGCTCGGATGAGAAACCAGAAGACATCAAAGAAGAAAAGTATGATATCGAAGATGAAGATGAAATGCTTGATTTTGTGAAGGAGAAGCTCGCCGAGCTTATCAAAACATCTCCAAACCGCGTGAAAAATAATAGCAACTTGATGGATATCGGATTGGATTCCCAACTTCTTACACAATTCATTCATTTTCTGAACAAAAATTTCGCGTTGAAACTAAATTTGTCTGATATCTATAATAATTCATCGCCGGAAAAATTGTCAAGTTTCCTGTGGAGCCAACTACAACAAAATAACGATGATGAGAAGGAAACCATCGCCGAAAAGATTGAAGATGTGAAAGGGTGTGATGATTTTTGTTCGTCTCTTGGAATGAATATATTCTTCGATGATGAGTCGAAAATTGAACAAATGAAGAAAGTTGCTCTAGAAGAGCCCGAGAAGTTACCGAAAAACGGAACGTTTGTTGTTTCGGCAATTGGAAAGAATTTCGAAGAATTTAGAAAAAATCTGGAAAACGCCAAAAGCAAAAAAGTTGTGAAAATTACTAAATCGGTGCTCATGTTAACCGGACAAGGATCACAATATCCAATGATGGGAAGACAATTATGCGAGAACTATGCCATCTTCAGAAACACATTGCATTACTGTTTGACAGAATGTGACAAACATTTGAAGGGCGACATTCCATTGTGGGAGATTTTGTTCAACACCGACCATTATCAATTGCTCCAGCTCACCACTAACATGCAACCAATCATGTTCAGTTTTGGATACGCTTTGGCGAAATTGTGGGAGTTCTTAGGATTCGTTCCGGACTACTATCTTGGTCACAGCGTTGGTGAATTGGCGGCCGCTGTCCTAGCGGGAATGATGGGCCTTGATGATGGTTTAAAGCTCATTGTTGAGAGAGGAAAAGCTATGGAGGGAATAGCAGGACTCGGAGCTCTTCTCGCCGTTCAAAAAGAAATTGCCGATGATGTGATCAGAAAGTATGACGTATGTGTTGCGACAATCAACAGCCCGAAGCAGGTTGTATTTGCTGGTAAGAAGGATGAACTGGACAAAGCTTTAGCATTTGTTAAGGGACAAGGTAACATAATTCGAGCTCGTTTATTCTATCAACGTGATTGATTTAGGAAAGCAAGGGACATTTGTTAATCAGAAATACCCATTCCATTCCAATTTGATTCAAGAATCTCATCTTCAAGGTCTCCGGAACTGTCTAGAAGGAATGGTGTTCCACAAAGCAACAATTCCTCTGATTAGCAATGTATCAGGACAAATGATCACCGAATTCACAGAAGAGTACATCATCAAGCATACTGTCTCGGCGGTTAAGTGAGTTTTTTTTTGAAATAATCTTTTTAGATTGCATTGAACAAAAAAATTTCAGATTTGTCAACTGTGTTGAAACACTTCAAGGACTTGGTCTGAATACGTGGGTTGACGCTGGACCAGCTGCTGTCCTTGCAACATTTGTGAAGCGCATTATATTCCCGTCTGATCTACCAAACCACCGAATTGTTCAAACTTGTAAGGAGAAGGATTCTGACGGCGATGCTCTTCTTACATCATGTTTGGAGCTCGAGCAAGGGGGAATTTCGATCAACTGGAATGCAGTTTATGGGTGCGAACAGATAACAATCCCCAGCGTTGTTGACTTCCCAGCAGTCAAATCCTTCGAAATTGAAGATGACGAATACGAAGTTCTGAAGGATCACAAGTTGAATGAAAGAATCATCGTTGCCGGCGTTTACCAAGTCCACAAAATGCATAAATTTGTGGTGGAAAGGTCTAATGATCACAAGCTGGTGTTGAGAAACGTGAAATTCCTAAAACCTTGGTTCATCGAGGAAGGAAAAACGTTTGAAATTGATTGGCTTCCAAATATGAACATCGAATTGAGAGTCAAAAACGTTGTCGTGTGCAGCGCGAGAATTGAAGAAGACGATGGCCTTTCAATAACGATTCCAGAAGAAGGGCCCGACGAGCAAGCGTTTGATGTGAGCCAGTTCTACGACTCGCTTCATAGAAACGGATTGCAATATGGTCCCCGATTTCGTGTGATTTCTGAAGCCAAAAGATCAAACAAGCGATGCCTCGCAACTTTGAAGAATTCCAATTTCATTTGGCCATTGATTGACGGAGCAATGCATTCAGTCACATCAAGCGTTCTTCAAAGACGTCCTGATTGCTATTTCCTTCCGGTAGCGCTTGGAACAATCACAATGAAGAGCACCGAAGTACCCGAGACGAGCAATTCAACGGCTGTGATCATTTCGGAAACCGATAAATTCATTCAAGTCAACGTTGGACTCTATTCCGGCGATAAGACGATTTGCGAAATTCGGAATATGACTATTGTTGTTCTCAATCTGGAGAAAAACGCGGAAAGTCTGAAAAACGAGGAAGAAAAATCGGAGATCCAAATTGTAAGCTTTGATCTTAGTCTTCCCTTAAATAAGCCATTCGACAAATACGAAGGATGGCAGTTTCTTAAAACGGGAAAAGTGAAATCGAATCTCGAATTTCGACAAGAAAACGCTTTTGTCTCGACGCTTGATGCTGAAATACGCGAATGGGATCCCGAGCATTTTGGAATTCGGCCGAATGAAGCAAAATATATGGATCCGCAGCAACGGTTGCTTTTGACTAGCGTTGCTCAGCTTCTGCACTCTGCTAGTATTCAAGCATTACCATCAAATACTGGAGTGTTTGTGGGATGTTCAACGCATGAATTCCCGCAAATCGTGTACGCTCATGCGAAATCACCAAAAGCTGAATGGAGTGGTGGAACCGCGACGTCCTCAATGGCTGGAAGAATTGCGCATTGGCTTAAACTTCAGGGACCGGTTATGAACGTTGACACTGCTTGTTCATCCTCATTAGCTGCTCTAGCTTCAGCTTGCGATCATTTGAAAGCTGGAAAGTGCGACTACGCTATTGTAGCAACAATTAATCTTGTCCTGCACTCAATGACGACAAATGTGCTTTCCAGCGCTCAAATGATTGTGCCCGACTTTTGCAAGGTTTTTGACATTGATGCGAATGGCTATAAACGCTCGGAAGCAATTTGCACGATGCTTCTAACACGCAAGGACGTAGAAAACAGTCTTGGCACCATTTTACAGTGGGCTATTGGTCATAATGGAACCAGCAGTTCTTTGTATACCCCAAATGGAAAATCACAAACAGAGCTTATTAGAATGTGTCAGGCTTCCTCAGAAGGCTTAGATATCCAAACACATGCAACGGGAACTAAAATAGGTGATCCCATTGAGCTGTCAGCATTGCTTAACGCATACCCAGAAGGTGTGTTAAATATTTCTGCTTTAAAATCAAATATTGGACATTGTGAAGGAGCCAGCGGTCTCATAGCTCTTTGCATTAGTTTGATAGAACATCAAAATTGCTATAAGCTTCCCCAGCTTCATCTAAAACTGCTGAACTCGCCAAATAGCGAACGATTGAGACTTCGTTTTGTAGGCGAGGAGCAGGAATCGCAAAATGTTTTAATTAACAATTTTGGGTTTACTGGAACCAATTGTTCCGTTTTGCTGAGGCCCACAAATATTGCAGTAAATGAATCAGTGGATACCGAAATGTCCTATCCAATGTACATTTCAGCGAGCTCAAAAAAGGCTTTAGACAAATACTGCACAGTTTTTTGTCAATTTGTCAGCGAAACAAACGAACCACTTTCAGCAATATCATTTACATTATCGCTTGAAAAAGTGTATAGATTCCGAAGAGTATTGATCTATAGTTATAAGCGAAAAATTATATGTACCAATGGTGACGATGTTACTGAGGAGACGCAAAAGTATTATCAGGCAATCAAGAGATTCATTGATGAGGGCATTTTGCCAAAAATTACTGGCAATAGAAAAGTAGACCTACCCCCACTAGTGTTTAATGAATCGTATTATTGGGATATTGATGAATATCCTGATGACACTTGTAAGAAGCCTGATGAAACGACGACGCCAAACATTTTCTACAAAAGGCTTCTTGAGCCAAAACCACCCATTCGTGTTCAACAGAATGTTCGAACCATTCTTTCTTACGGTCAATTTCCGAACATTCAAGAGGCTTCGATTGAGAAATTGAGGGATTGTTGCACTGATATTATTGTTATGCAATTGTTCGGAAGCACTGAAGAAGAATTCTTCAGATTACTCAATTTGTGGAAGAATTTAGATCAGGAAAATGTCAAGCTTTTAATCATTTGTGCACAGTCTAACTTCACAATGTATACCGAATGGACGGGAACATTGAAAAGCTTAGCGGCTGAGAAACTAATACCCTATAAGTTTGTTAGCTTTGAAGATCCTCAGCAGATACATAGTAATGAGCTGAGCCTCACCGATAGCTATGAATCGATATTCTATCGAAATGATGCTCGATTTGTTGAGCGACTTGTTGAAGAAATAGTAAAGCTGAAGGAAGGCATAAGATTCGAGAAAATATTGATGTCAGGCGGCACTGGAGGGATTGGGTCAGCCGTTGTCGATTTTATGAATCTGAAGAATGTCTCAATTATATCAAGAACAGCTGGAACGAATCATATACAAGGAAATGTAGCAACCGTTCAACTTCTCAACAAAGGATACGACTCAATATTTCATTTTGCTGGAATTGTCGACAACGAAACCCATCAAAGGATGACAAATTTGCAATTCCAAAACACGTTTGAACCGAAAGTTAAAGGAGCCAAGAACTTGTTATCAATTTGCAATCGTGACGCGGAGTTCAAATTTTCATCTTCAGTGGCTTGCATTTTCGGATCATTTGGACAATCGAATTATGCATTTGCAAACGGTTTGGCGGCATCAATCTTAGAAAAAAGTGAGGTGAACTCTGATGTTATTCATTTTGGAGCATGGAAGGATGTTGGAATGCTAGCACGCCAAGAGTGCGGTGAGATAAGAAAACAGCTGAACCACAATGGTTGGAGGATGCTAAGCAATACCGAAGCTCTAAGTGTATTTAAGGTTCGAAAATCGAAAAAGAAACGTGACATTATCGTTTTTAATGGAGATTTTGAAGAAATCATTAGAAGAAGCCCATATTTGAGACCTCTACTTTCGAAACTCGTGAAAGTTGAAGAAAGCGAAATAAATAATAACCAGAAAGCGAGCTTCGAAGATATATTCTTCAAAATCACTGGTATAAAACCAAGAAATGATGTCGATTCAATACCATTCATGGACCTTGGAATCGACTCGCTATGTATCGAAAACCTTCGGCAAACGATTGAAATCGAGATGGACATAAAACTTTCACTCAATGAGATTTTTGATAATGCTAATTATAGCAAGATGCGCGACCTTATAAATAAGAAGAAAAATGAGGGACCGAAGAAGGTTACATTTAATATAGCTACTAATGAGGATGGGCAAATAGACGAGAGAATTGCAGTGATTGGATGGAGTGCGGAATTCTCCAATGTGGAGAATATCTCCGAGTTTTGGGAAGAACTAATGGCTGGAAAATCATTACTAGAAGAGGATGGCACAGGACGTTTGAAACATCCCGATGACTTTGACAACACGTTTTTCAATATCACCGATGAGGATAGTAAAGTGCTTGATTCTCAAATCAAGAAATTCATTCAGCACGCGTATTGGGCTTTAGAAAATTCCGGATACATTAAGGTGAGAAGCAATCTACGATGCGCAGTGTTTGCTGGCGCTGAGCCAACAGAGAAAAATATTGAAGAGCAACCAGATGCAATGCGGCGAATGTTTGCAATAAATATGAATAATTATTTAGCATCATATGCAGCATATTGCTTGGATCTTCAAGGAGAGGCAACTTCGGTTTATACAGCCTGTTCGACATCATTAGTAGCTGTAGCTCATGCTGTAAAGTGCCTTCAAAGAAATGAAGCGGATTTAGCATTGGCTGGAGCTGCTTCAATCGCGCTCAGTGGAATAATGGATGAGAAGAAGACGGTTTTTGCCGGAAAAGAAAACTTCCGACCATTCGACAAGGACTCAACCGGTATTGCTAGGGGATCTGGAGTTGGATGTTTGGTGTTAAAACGACTCGACAAAGCAGTCAAAGACAATGATAATATATACTGCGTAATTAAAAACTTCTCAATTTGTAACGATGGAATATCGAAAGCTAGTTTCATGGCACCCAACCCGTCGGGTCAATTGCGCTGTATAAATGGCGCTTTGCTGAATCTCACCGATGAAGAGAAGCAGAGGATTCGGTATATTGAATGCCATGCCACTGGAACACCACTTGGCGATTCAATCGAACTTAATTCATTGAAAGACGCGTACAACTTTAAAACGAGCCTCACTATTGGATCTTGTAAAGCAAACATTGGACATGCATATGCGGCTTCAGGCCTTGCGTCGATTATAAAATCAGCAATGATATTGAAGTCAAAATTAATACCTCCACAGATCAACTTTAATCAGTTTCGCGAGGACTATGGCGAATTTTTAAATATCAATACCAAAGCAATGAATATTGAAACCGGTAGCATTATTGCTATTGATTGTTTCGGTATTGGAGGCACTAATGTACACATGCTGATCGAAGAAGGACCTGCACTCGCAATAATGGAGAAAGTGCCTAAAAACTGTGCTGTTATACCCGTGTCCGCAAAATCATTTAATTCGCTCAATGCCCAAAAGCAAGCTATAGTAAAATACCAGTCTGAAAATCTTTTGACGGTGCAATCTATTTCGACACTCCAACATCATCGAGAAAATTATAGTCACCGTTCGTTTTTGATCGCTAAGGAAAATGATATCATACACCTTGGCGACAATGTGACTTCAAAATTATCACCAAAAGTGTGCTTTTTCCTAGCTCCACAAGGAATACAATTCAGCAATTTGTTCCCATTTGATAATGAACATTCGGCGTATCATGTTGAAATTAATCGTCTTTGTGGTCTTGCTTCTCAAATTTGTAAAAAGGATTTTGAAGAGATTCTTAATTCGAATAATCGGTTGAACGATGTGGAGAACACGCAGGTTGGATTGTTCATACAATGTATGGCTATTGCTCGAACATTGCAAGAGAGTGGCATCGAACCAGACCTCCTTGCTGGCCACAGTCTCGGAGAATACACTTGCGCAGCTCTCAGTGGAGTTTTAATCGAGTCGGACGCATTTAATTTGCTCAATCGTCGTTCGAAACTTATTGGAACAACACCGGAGACTGAGATGATCATGGTTTGGGGAGACATTTGCCCACCGAAATGTCTCGAAGAAACTGCCATCGTGAGTGACAAAATTCGATGTTTCGTTGGATATCATAAAGATGTTCAACCGTTCAGCGAATCATTGAAGGCACGCGGAATCAAATATAAAATGGTTGGAACTCAATTCGGGTTTCACTCATCCTTCATGAATCCAATTTCATATCAATTCCGAAGGCTTTGTGATGGCTTCAAATTTCGAGAAGGATGCATTCCGTGGATTTCGAGCATCACCGGAGAGAAAATGACAACCCTTTCTTCAGACTACTGTACTTCTCACTTGAGTTCTTCAATCAATTTAAAGTTACTAGTTGAAGCATTAATTGCGGAAAATATCGATATTATTGTAGAAATTGGACCCTCAGGTGTTCTTGAGAGTTTGCTTCAAGATATTGGCTCGAAGATTGTTGTGATACCAACATGTGGAAGAAAATCACGACCACTTCCTTCATTGGAGATTTGCAAGGCACGCGCATGGAGCCATGGAATAAACATTAAATTCGAGCAAGAATGCTCATCTATTGATCCGAAGCTACCAGGATATCAATTTGAAGCTCATCGACAAGAAAGTGTGCAAATTTTCAAACAGCAATGGATCCCAATAGCTGATGAAGTTGTAAAAGAAGATTTAGATGCGAAGATATATGAATTACCGGCGGATTGTAAGGATGTCAATTCAATATTCTACGACTGCATGTCATTAGCTAAATACGGAAAGAGCAAGCTCATCATTATTTCAAACACATTAGAGCCCGCGCACTATCTTGCTCTTGGTGTTCTACGCAATAGTCATATTACTAATGGACGCCGCATGATTTTTGTGGAAAACCCGCTGAATCTACAAACAAGTGACGTCGTCAAAATGGTGTCATCCATGACTGAAGACATTGTTAGAATCTCTATGAATGAATGCCATTTTCTCGATTACAAGCCGACAAGATTTCCCGAAATAGAAATGGGGTTCGTTGGAATCGTTGCAGTTCTATTTGGAGCTAATGGATTTGTCGGAAGATGTTATGATCGAGTTCTTCGCCAACACAATTTCAAGGTTGTTCGAGTTGCCAAAACCAATTCCGACGTCAATTGCAATATCACAATCAAACAATCAGTCATTGAGTCATTACGGACCATCCAGAAGAAGCATGGGAGAATATCATTAATGATAAACTGTGTTGGCAAGGATCCTTCCACGAAATTGTGCAAATCTCGAAAGGAGCAAGATGAAATACTGTCTTCAAAAACAATTGCAAATATGAACATCATCGAAGCAGTCATCGAACTGGATATCGTTGTTGAGAAATTCATAATGTGCTCATCGCTAAGCTCTGTCATTCCACTATTGGGATGTGAAGACTACTCCTCAGCGAATTGTTTTGTTGACCGACTTGCTCATGAAAGTCATCCATGTATTCAAGAACGCCTAGCGATTGCTCTTCCTCCAATCATTGGTAGCCGAATGTTTGAAGAATCGAAAAGTTCGGTGAAAAACGTTTTGAAGTCAATTGCAATTAGCGAAGATGGGCTGGAAAGATTACTGTGGGCTACTATTGGAATGAGTGGTGCTATTTATCTTTGCAAGAGGGATTTGAAGTCGATGGTATATGACAGCATCCGATATCACACTTCCGAATATTCGACCTCAACGAAGAGTAATTCAATCAAGATGGATATAATCGAGATTTGGAAAGATACCATCAGTCATAATATTGATATCAATGATGAAACAAACTTCTTCGAAATTGGTGGTGATTCACTTAGTGCGCTTCAAGTAACTTGGAAAGTCAAATGTGTCACAGGCAAAGAGGTTCATGTCGATGATTTATTTCTCAACCCAACTGTTCAAGGATATGCCAATTATATAAAAAATTTGACCGACTCGGAGAAGGATATGGACGTCGGAATAAATGATTTCAGCACAATTCCATTAACAAACGCACAGATGCAAATGTTCATTCTTCGACAAACTCAAGAGCCAACCCGATACAACCTGATATTCCAAATCATTATGAAAATTGAGGATCAGTTTGATTATGAAAAATTCCAGAATGCAATTTTCAACCTGATTGGAAATCAAACCAGCTATCGAACATGTTTCCGAAATATCAAAGGTCCAATACAATCAGTGGCGTCTTTGACAGAAAGCTTCTACGATTTGACACCAAATCATACCAGCAAAGAAGAGTGGAATGAAATAATTCAAGGAGAACTTCACTACATTTTCGATATTCTATCAGAGACTCCATTGCGAATCATCATGGCTAAAGTGGATGGAATGCTTTTGGTACTCTTCAATCAACATCATATTCTCAGCGATGGTTGGTCAATGACTGTCTTCGCTGATGAGATAACACGTTTTTACAATGAGAACTTGAAACGTCAGGTGCAGTCAATGAGTAAGCTTGGCGTGATTGAGCAACTACAAACGAAGGAAACGGCAAAACGTGTTGAAGAAGCCGCAAATCAATTGAAGAATTATGAGCATTGCGTCATTCCATATGATCAATTAGATGTTGAGTGCTATAAGAAAATGGAATTTTTGATCCCTTCAAGACTCTGGCATAATCTCTTGACCACGTCCAAGAAATTCAACACAACTCCATATAATGTCGCTTTGACACTGTTCTGCAAGACGTTGAAGAACTTCATAATGACTGAAAACCTGCTATTTGCATATGCCAGCTCTGGAAGGAATGAGCACAGTTCAAATCTCATTGGCTATTGCATGAACAATGTTTTGTTCCATTGTTCGATAATGGATGGAATTCCATTTAAGGAATGCCTTGAAGCTGTCATACAATCGGTAAGCCAATACAAAGACATTCCTTTTCACAAAATTGTGGAGATCGAGAAGCACCTTGGAGCAATTTCCATTTATTTCAACTTCCGCCAAAAATTGGACTATCCGACAGTGAATATTCCCAATGCACAATGCGAAATTCAACACATTTCCCTTAACAGCGCATTCGATTTTTCATTCACGATTGATGAAACTCCGAATGGCACATTGATATCGGTAGATTACGATAGCGGAAAGTATAAGTCTAGAACAATTGAGCAAGTTGTTCAGGTGTTTCTCAAAAGCATCCAAATAGACAAACCAACAATTATTGATAGGATTGCTAGAGCCGATTACCCGTTATCGTTGCTCCCAAAAGAGCAAATTATTGAATGGCACAGTTCAAGTGCACACGCAACTCATGAAATCACCTATAAAGGGTTGGCCGAAGAATTACAAAGCACGGCGAATAACATAGAAAACGAGTATTGCATCCAAAATGGGAGAACACCTCGTGAAGACGATGCTGTTGCTATAGAGTCTTGCGAGATTACTATTTTCGCATGCTTTTTATTGGGGGTTGCCTATGTACCAATGGATAGCACCTGGTCCGAAGAGCGAAAAAATATTGCGCAAAGGTTGAGCCAATTAAATTGGAACGGCGTGTCGAAAAGGGCCGCCAAGAAATTGAGAGTATTTTCTAGAAGAAGCCCATTTGGTATGATTTATAATTTACTTACTAGTGGCTCTACGGGCCGTCCTAAAGGAGTTGCCATGGGACAGCAATCGGTATCATCCTTTGTCACAAGCGCAACGAAGACTTGCCTATTCCGATCTGGACATTGGATTCTTGACTCTGTCAATAAAGTGTTTGACGTTAGCGTGTCAAATATTTTCGGATGTTTCCTTAATTACGGAACCCTTGTCCCTAATGATTCCAGCTATCTTTCTACAACACACTATGCTTTCATTCCATCCGCTGTGTTTAATTCGTTTGATGAATCAGCGTTGAAGCGATTAAGTGTTAATGAGATTGTGACGGTTGGAGGTGATACAATAGCCACTATCCCATATGAAAATGCAATCAACGCTGGAATCCACCTAATACAGATTTATGGACCAACGGAAACTTGTGTGTGGTCGCTTATCGCACGCTGCAAAACCGGAAATTGCGCGAACCTTGGGAATGCCCTTGAAAACGAGAGAGCCCGCGTCAAATGCAATTACAAAATTGGTGAACTTGTTATTCAAGGGGTATCTGTGGCAAGAGGCTATACAAACGGTATCGCATTCAATTCAGTATACTGTACTGGGGATATTGTGGAGAACCGCGACGGCAGGATATCATTTGTTGGTCGACTAGATGATCAAGTGAAGTTTAAAGGGATCCGCATCAATTTGAAAGAGCTTGAGCAAGAAATGTGCATGGCTCTCGGCATTCAGCAAATCAAGCTTATTATGCTTAATCAGCAACTAATCGCTTTTCTTGTTACGCAGGATAGCGTTGATTTCAATTCTATCAATTTCACACACCGTCCGGATCATTTTGTCACAATTGAAAAAATGCCGTTGAACGCCAGCGGAAAGGTTGACGCTAAAATTCTTTTGCAGGCATTTGAGCAGCTCAGAAAGTCATACAAGAGAGAAATTGAAATGATGAGAAACTCATTGGAGGATCAAGTACACAATGAAATCAGTAATGCTGTTTTTTAACATTCATAATTACAGGTATTGGATGTGGTTTCCACGGCAATTGGGCAACGAGCAGACCTTTGCGACAAATTCTCGAATATCGGTGGAAATTCGTTGTCAGCAATTCAAGTGGCTCACAAATTATCGGAAATTATTGGAAGTGAAGTGAAAGCGCATGATGTTTTACAATCAGGATCACTCAAAAATCTTGTCCAATCGATATCGGGAAATGTGGAAATACCCAACAGAAGCGGAATGAATGTCATCACAAAACTTCGAGAAGCTCCAGACTCCAATATCACAATCTACTTGATTCACGCCATTGGGGGAACAATTTATCCCTATTACTCGTTTCTACAAATATTCCCAAAGAACTTTTCCATTTATGGAATTGAGTTTGATTTGGACTATCCATCAAATGATCTTAAAGAGCTTTCGAGATTCTATGCAAGAGAGGTATTCAGATACTATAGGGAAGTGGACTACAAAATTTCCCAAAAATTTTTAGATTGCGTCACATGCTTCAGACAAAGGATTCAAAAACATATTTGTTATGGGGCATTCAATGGGTGGAATAATGAGCAGAGAGATTGTTGCAGAATTGAAGATTTGGGGATTCGAGGTATGTCAAGGAATTTAATAAAACAAAACCAAGCATTCCGAGAGAGAAATTGAGAATAATTCATGGCATATAAGATGATATATAATGCACTTATATAATATATGCGCGCATTTTCAGATTCCATTTGTGATTCTTTTCGATTCCTGGGTGTTGAGGACAAATGAATTGGACATTGAAAATATTAAAAACTTTATAACGGTAAGAATGTGTGTCCGTGAATCCGAATTGATCTGAAACTTACAGTATGTTTTCTCTGGACTTCCTGATAGTGAGAGACGAGTAGATCGGGCAGTGAGTAGAAAAAAAAAGTGGCGAAAAGAAATATTTATATTTAGCTAAAATTGGCCAAATTATTAAGAGAATACAAGACATCAGTATCCGACACGAAGTTATACTTGTTTAAAAGTAAATCACTTGGGGATGCAGCTTTCAAAAAAGCAGTCAGGTACCAAAATTGCGGAAGTAATTTTTATAATTGAAAATTTGTATTCAGAGTGGACTTGAATGAAGAATTGTCGCGTTCAATGGTTTTCAATGGATTTGACGAGCTGTCCCTTCAACCAATTGACACCTACTTGGTTAGTGTCGTTAGAAAATGAAGTCGAGATTATCTGAAATTGTTTATAGATTGATGGCGACCATGAATCGTGCCTAAAAATTGAGAATCTTCGAAAGGTTAAAAATGAAATTCTTGCACCTTTCCAGCCATATTTATAATTTTACCGCTTATTTTTTTTAAATAAATGCTTCATCTCTAACTGTTGTGTGTTATTATGCATCAACTTTTAAAAAAAAGTACGCGGTGAATAATTCTTGAAAAGTTATTAATAATATATAGAGTTTACCTTATTGACAATCACTCTACCAAACCTGCCAACCAGGATTTTTTTTTACATTTTGAATTTGTTAGCTAATCTTGCACGTTCTCTGAGCATCATTGACAGAATTTTATGTGGGTGACTTTTAATTACACACCTGTTCATATCAAGTATATACTTATCAAGGATACGCCCACTTCTAGCGTTTTTTTTTCTTTCTAGAAAGCGCCACGCCCATATTAGCAGTAAAAACGAAGATTGTAGTCATACATGCATTATTTCGAACACAATTTTTACTATATGGCGCCAAAAAACGTTCCCACACAATATATTTTAGGCGGCGTCGTAAATCGCCCAATTAGGCGTGCTAACATATGCAGAATAAAAAAAACAACTGCGTCGAACGGTTTTCTGTTCAACAATGCGTGCATAGTGCCTTTCCCGTTTTTTTTGTCGTTTCCTTTCTCACATAAATTATGGGTGAATTGAGATGGTTTGCTATTGATTAGTTTCCAATGAATGATATCTTCAATTTTTGGTGCTTTTCCTATCGAATGCACTTTCTAGAATAATGTGGAGCCTTCAACAAATTATCGACATCATCAAGGAGTATTTCTACGTTGGCATCCCTTTCGTTGCTCTTCTTGTGATCTTCATTATTATGAAATACCGTGAGTATCCATTAAGCAATTATGAGCTAAATTATTTCAATGTAGGCTCCCGAAGAGAATTTCATCGTACTCGGGCTCTTTTAAGAGAGATGCGCCAAAATATCGTGCCGATTCGTGGATACAGTATCACGGAGCTCGGCTTCAATCGAATGCCGGCTCGTTATCGTGAGCCACGTGTGCCAAGCCCGCCGCCAGAGACTAACGATGAAATGGGACCTTACATCACCTACGGTGTCCATGTCCCAGGATGCAGCGACGAGGAAAGCAGCGACAACGAGAACAATTAATTCCCATGGTCATGCGTGTCTACCAATACTAATAAACCTTATTAATAGTTGATCTGGTTCTATTTTTTTTTGCTTCTCGCTTTTTTTCTATTGCCGAGGGTGCCCAAAAACGTATATAAGCAGCACAACACAGCTCCTCTTGATGGCCGAAATGTTTGTTTGTTCTCGTGACCGTTCCAACACTCCATCCCGCTTTCCGACGGCGGCGCCTCAAAAAGGTTATTTGGTCACGACGAAGCAGCAGCCAGCTTTTTTACCGTCACCATTTTCGTTGAACGCGCGCGCGCGCCTCCTCCCTCCGCGAGCTGTACAGATTTTTTATACAGTTGTTCGACTGTTCAATCGAGTTAAGCTTTGAGGTCTCCACGATATCTGTCAAGAGACATTGCGTCAACAGACGAAAAAAAAGTTGCTTGGTTATTTTTTTATCCTTCGTGCGTTTGTTTGTTTTTTTTTTGTGTACTGGTCACTTGCAAAAGTGAATCATACTTGTGTGCTAAAACAATAAAGCTCCTTAATTCAATATGCACTTTGCATTTCGATGAGTAATTCTGACGACTGTTGGTTTGCGTTCCCATTTTAATTCGATATCAATCAGATTTGATAATTAATAATAGAAAAAAGGCTTTTTAGAGAACATTTCTAAAAATTTAATTGCCAAAATTTCAATGATCGTTTCAGATTTAATTAATTAATGAGTAATGAATGTATTTTGGTACATGTTTGAAGTGAATCAAACCGCTGCAAAACTGTTTTTCGAGGGTTCATAGTGTCCACTAAAGTCTTGCAAACTTTCCAGCTAAAAGGCTTGATAATTGATCATTATTAATAGTTAGCATAGCATAAATTTTCATAGGCTGTGTAAAGGACGCTGCCATTCTTGACAAAAAGGGTTTTATATAACATTTTTGAACAAGAATATAAGGGATTCGATGATTTGATTGAATTCTGATAATATATCTCATAATATAATATATTTCAAGAAAATTATTGGCATTTTTTCTCCAAAAAAGTAAAAATTTAAGGTAGATCAGAATAGTCTAAAAATCTTGATATAAATGCATAATTAAATCTACCCCCAATCTGTTAGTGGATTCAAGAAATCAAACTTGGCAATCGCACGATAAAGATATTTTTATTGTCATAATCATGGTTTAGCAAGAGTATAATCAAGATTCAAGATATTCGCTTGATCCGCTGATTTCCAAAGGCTATTTCGGCTTCTGTAATGTCAAATGTATAGTACTTTCTCCTATTGTGAACGCTTCTATCATTTGCTAAATATGTTTGTGGTTGTGATTTGCATTGGCCCAATGCGTTCACGCCATATTTGCCCCCATTAAGTTTGACCAATACGATGAGAACACACGATTAATCTGCACATATTTCCCATCGTACCCGTTAATCTGCATCGCGTCAAGAATCCATAAAAACGGTAGAAGAAGCCGCTAGCAAATCGAACGTCCCAACCGCAATAGCACAATAGTCGACGCGAACCTCCGCCCTTGCGGTGACAAGACGCGGTTGGTAAACAGGCCGAAAACTTTCCGCGCACTACCTACTAAAATCCACAATCTTTTGTCGACTTCCGCTTTTGAGTGACCCTCGGCGATCGCACATTTCTCGTCGCTCAAACATGAGCTCCGCCCAACTTCACAAACCAAATCACCGATATCTAAATATGTCAGTCTCGATGGAAGCCTGATTGCTATTCAGAATGCATTTCGCGTCGCGCTGCTTCCTCAACATTTTGTCCATCATTATTCTTTTTTTTGAGCACTTCTATTTACACTCGATATACATTTGACCGACTAGGGCTAGCCCTCATTGAAATTCTATTTTAATAACCTGGAACATGCATTCATATGTGTGTGGCTCTGACCAAACAAAGCCACCTCCATAAATTGTATAGACGTGTTTGTTTTATGTCCCAATGATGGGCACAGAAGATTCTCCATTTCAATATACTACCACCTCCTGTTCTATTAGACCAATTTTTAATGTTTTTTTTTTCAATTTATAGATGACAATTTTCACGAAAAGCGAAACCACCGAGGAGACCAAAAAGCCAGTCGATGGTGCCAAGGAAGAGAACCCAAAGGTGTTTCAATTCTTCCAACATTTTCAATAAACATGATTCAGCAGGTTGTCGTCTGCGAAGCTGAAGAGGAAAAACATATCAGCAATTGCGGATGGATTCCGATGGAAGGCGGAAATTTTGATAGGTTCGTCGGCGTCATGTCCGAGAAATTTTCAAGTTTCAGCCATTTAAGGCCAAAGGAGAAGAGAAGCTCGTCGTTCGGACCATTGTCCATTATTCGGCTTTCTCCGTCGCCGCTCGCCCGAACTCCGTCGCCATCACCGCCAGATTATGATAATGCAATGAACAATAGAAGGTTAAAATTACTGAGGGGAGGCGAATTGGAAAAATATGTATTGATGTGTTCCAGGATGCGCCAATGCACGAAACTCACCTTCACTCTTATCGCCATTTTCTGTTTCGTCATTCTCGTCTCGTTCTTCCTCTATCAGCAAGGATTGATCAAGTATGTGTATAGTCAGCGTCCGGCGACAGTTGTACGCTGGTAGATTTACCGGCATGCGCCTTGAAAAGGTCTCGCCACGCGTGAATGCCTATTTTGCTGTTTTCACGTGAACTGCTTCATTTTTTTTGACGAGTTTCGCATTTCCTTGAATTTTCAACGATATTCGATTAAAAAATTATCGAATCCAGCATAATATGGGATAGTGTCTATTAATAATGAACCTTAATTAGACATAATTAGGATTTCAGAATTCTGATTTTGGTAATGTGAAAAACCTTTCTAATGGTGTGTATCTGAAAATTTGTTTCAACAACTCGTTTCTTTTTACCCAGTGATACCTCGAAAGTTCATAAATATTCGACTTTTTTAGAAAATTCTATAAAGAATTGAGAATGTGGGTCACAATTAGAAAAAAAAACAAACATAAATATAATTCCAGACTGCTATTATTTAATTATCGTTCCATATAATATTTGCCTTTCAATCGATCCCCCCCAGTAGTAGCATTTTTCCAATTAAACAAACATTGTAAGCTCACGTCACAATATTTCGGAAGCCAGATTTTTGCGACAAGAAAAAAAAAACAGACAATACGAACCACTTGAGAGCGCTTATATTGACCCCCCATATAAGTGATTTGTTTACGGATCGTTGGATGGCTATTATTAAATAATTTCCAGTGTTGCTTATCAAAAGGGAGTCTACCACGGATGGAACGCAGCAACTTACTCAAACAAGGGACTTACTGAGAGACTTGTTCAAAACGTCGAGATTAATCCAACCGAATCTTATGAGAAGATTCAAGTGCCAAGGTTCGGCGCCAACCGACCCGCTGTGTTTTTGCACGATTTCAAAAAGGTTGGGATAATGATCGTTTCAAGAAATATCTTGCTAATTGATTTCAGAATTTGACTGCTATTGTCGATGTGATGGGAAAACGATGCTTTGTGAAGGAGCTTGATCGTGCCCGTGTTGCGTCGCCAAAAAGTTTCATCGACATGCTTAAAGCAATTGATGTAACTTGACAGTAATTATGCTATTAATCAAGATTTTGTGAATTTTAGTCTACAACTCCCGATCTTCGCTCTTTGAACACCCGCGTTGTTCGTGAAAGCTTCCGCGTTGGAACCGCTCTCAATGAATCTGAGATCGCAAAACTTTCGAGCCCAATGCTCATCAGACATTGTGCATTCCGTCCAACCTACATGCTCAGCAGACAAGAGCAGAAAACCCGCTCAAAACGAGGCAATGCGTATTCCATGATTCCTATCTAATATTTTCTGCTTTCAGACACTGAAGGTCAGTACTTGCAGTTCGCCTCACTGGTCGGCACTCAAGTCGAACTTGATGTCATTTCTGTTTAAATTGGGTACATCAGACAGAGTTGACTATATTAATTTATAACAATTTGAATATTTGTAAAAATTGTGTGTTGCTCGTACTTACACATATATTGATAAAACCATACGGTCATGGTCCCTCCTCTGACCTCGTTAATGATATTTTTTGTTTCGATTTTACTTTTTTATTATTTATTTATTTTGACCTTCTCGCCTGATGTCTGTTTCCATCCACTAACCCAAACCTGATATTTATGCGTTTTATATGATATCTATATATTCCGTAATCACAACGTGATGAATGAAGAGAAAAGAAAAAAAATACAGTTGAATTGTGTCTAGTCGCCTAAATTCTCGACCCATTTTTGGCATTGAAAAAAAACCTTCGGATCGTTTCCGGATTGGCGAAGTTGCGCTTACGGATAAATCAACATGTCAAGGTGGGCGCCACAAATTTGGCATATAAGGCAGAACTCTTGGCAATTCAACTCCGGTTTTCACTCACACGTTTATCTTTTTCCATTAGAATGCTTCTCCACCTTGCTATATACTCAGTCAGTTTTGTAGTTCTATGTAGGTGCTAGTGTCTTGTTATATTACCTGATTACTTTGGTTCAGCATCCTCATACACAACAGAACCCCCATGTTGTCGGGATCATTTAGGGTCTACGGCATGCCATAAAATGATGCAACAGAATTTTCGAATGTTCTCCAGACGTTGTAACACCGATGCCGAATTTCGGTTATCATATTTCTATTGTGCTGAAAGTTTCTTAAAACGCGAATTAACAGATTGATACAATGCTGTTCGACATGTAATACAAATGGAACCGGCATGGCCTATGATTTAATTGCAAGATCACTGGTTTCAGAGCACTGCTTTGATAGATACGGATCACAATTTTGTGGAAGGTCTGCCTTCATTTTCTTGCATATTTAGGCTAATTTGGTTATTAAAGGTACGTCAATAAAACCGACGTGTTTGAGCCCCATAACACCTGGTCATGTAGCGGAATGAATCCCCAAATTGCTTTTCGATCATGTAGGCTTTCCTGCGGGTACTGTAACTTTAGTGTGGTCCATTATACGATAGACAATGCGATAAAGGTATTATAATTTATTTGTTTTCATTCTGATAGATATTGTTTTAGGCTTGCAACAAAAATAAAAATCCTATCGGATCATATCGCTGGCAGAAACTTCACCGCTCAACACCGAAGCCTAGTAGTACGCCAGCAACCCCATCTCCGGTTCCACTGCTACCGGAATATGAGAGCCTTGATACGTTATACTAGCTCGCCGCTAAACTATTGTACAGAGCTAACTTATTTATTAAGCATAATAAAATCTCAAAGAAATACACAACAACGATAACAAACTCCATTATAAGCACTTTAATGGTTCGGGAGCATTGAGCCAATCGAATCCGCAAAAGCCGCAAGTAGCGCGGCAGACGCGAAATCCAAGACGGAAATGCGATGTATCGCAAGACCACCTGAAATGAAGAATGAGCAAATATATAATCCTCAAAAATAAAATAGGCACCTTCTGTTGTTCCACGCGTCGTCTCCAGTTTCAAAACGGCTACAGTATGCCGGGCTCATACGATCGAAACAATGTGTGCTGTTCGACGGGCCAGAGAAGAAACTGCAATATTTATTTGAAGGCGTGGAAAATTAAATACGACACTGGTATTTATTACTACCCGGTTACTATGAATATCTCAATACTTACTTCTGAGCCCTTTCTCTATATGAAATGCCAGCTTCTGAGCACGAGTTGCAGCAGACCACCAACGAGAAATCAGGTTCCGATTGACACCTATACCATTTGTTGATTATTGTCAATATTTGTTGATTACTTTTGATTAAACAATTTTGGATCGGTGCGCTTTAAATTCTTGCATATTGAGCCCCCGGATTCATCTTTGCAACAAGGTAGGCTTCGATTTGGACTCTGGAGCCGCGACTTGGATACATATTGGCTATCTGGAATAAAATGGAATTTTAAAAGAGCACATGTTTGGGCTCACTTTTGTGCTTCATCTCACGATTCTGATAAATTCTTGGCCTTATCACCGACATCATTCGATCTTTCGCTGAAATGTGCCTTGCGTACATTGATGTTCCAGCTGTAAACTGATTGTTAGTGTTCCAGTCGAATGAGGACGCTTAATTACCTTGTAGGTATTGTTCAAATCCAAGCAAAACGATGAGAATTAGAAGTGCGTGTTTTGCCGCCATGAGTTCGAATAATGACTGGAGGCCATTGTTTTGGAGATGGGAGGTTTGATATTATTTATTTATCATTGACAGCCATTTGCACCAGCACAGCGAAAAGAGTTCTCGTGATTCAAATAGATATTATTTTTGGTTTGAGCTCTCCGTCAGACATTAGTTTTCGTATTCAACGCACTCGAACCAGATCGGCCATTGAAAAGCATGACTCGATGATTGTTTTTAAAAGAAACCTCGGCAATCTTCATTTTATTTAACGAGAGAAATGTGCATTGCTCAACTGAGTGAAGCACAGGTGAATCTGAATTTCTGGCTTTATTCCATTCAGAAAAAAAAGATTTAAAAAATCAAATTGCTTCAACCAACTTGTCAGCCACGAAATCAATGATTTACAATTGTGTAAATTCAGCCTTGACTGAATATTAAATACGAGAATAATAAAATGCAAAGTACACTAGTCTTGCGTTCCATGTAGTTTTTTTTTATTGAAACTACACGTCTAAGATTAGCCAATCAGACAATCTATAGTAAATGCCAAGTTCTGAATGAAAACATCTTAAAAATTTAAGCACTACGAATTTCCTTTAAAGAAGAAATTGGATATTTAGAATTGAAAATCTGACGTATATTGATTTTTTAAGGGAAAATGACTCATTTTTTTTTAGATTTCAAAAAAATTAAAAACTGAAGATAATAAAATTTATATTATTTTTTGTGAAAAAAAGCAAAATAACATCGGGGCATATTTTTCATCGCCCATGTGCTCGTTGCCCCATTTCGTAATAAATTCAGCCTTTCATTTTTAAATGAGATTCCATGACAACGTCAGTTTGCTCTCATTTGCTTGACTTCTCCACACAATGAAACCAACGTTTCAAAGCATTTCCTATATGGTTAATCGCGTGCCTTCCCAAAAATACTGTAAAAAATCAATTTCTCATTCGCTTACCCGCGATTTTTGAACAATTATAATATTTGTAATAATAAATTCAACGTCGAATCTATATTTATCAGGTTAGTATCATCGCAAGACTAAACCTAAGTTCAAATGCAAACAATAATGGGTATTTCTGAAGTATTACGACATTCCAAAGTTGATCGTTTCACTAGAGTTTACTCTCAATTTTGATTTTTTTCTCAGAAATGAAATCCTTAAAAAATTTCTTCCTTGTTGTCTTAAAAAACACCAAATATCTATTGTAAATACAAGATAGTAGCAGTTTTCTACATACGAACATACGGCGAAAGTGTGCAAATACGCGCAAAAATGAATGGCTCACCACGGGGGCAAGCTATTCAATTTTTCCTCTTTCCGAAAGAGCAACGACAAACTTTTTGATCTCCAGTTTCTAAGAGCTTCGTCGTTTCCGTTAAAATACGCATCTCAAAAATTTCCGTCTGGAATTTTTTATGCTTAAATTTTGTCTTCCTTCTTTTGTAAAATGTTTCTTTCTTAAATCCTTTATTTCTATTGTTTGGAATACGTCGCTTTCTTTATTATATTTTTCATTCGTTTTTTTTTAAATAAAATTTCAATATTAATATAAGCATTAATAAAAATTTTATATTATAAAAAACATTATGAAAAATTTTTTCATAATCCTGTTAATTATTTCACTTTATCAAGAACAAGGCAATTTCGTCTCGCAATAATTTACGCTTGGGCTGCGTATCGAGCCTATGCAAAACTATTTATACCTTATAGGGGCATGCCGACATTTATTTTCACACAGAAATGCTAAAAAAAATTTTTCAAATATATATATATATATAAAATACATATTTTTCGTTCTAATTGCTTGAATTTCATACATTAACTTGCGGAAAGTTTTTCTGGTTGAATATAAATACATATATTAGGAACTGAAAGTACCTAAAAAGCATCCTGAAAGGTTTCAAACGTTCTTATAATTTCAGTAATCCCCATTTTCTGCAAAACTTCTTAATGTAATTTCATAAATCTGAACTGTGAAAAAATTGAAAAGTCAATTTTTTTGCCAAATTCAGCGTTTTTTTTTTAATTATTTTTACTTGTATTGATAACGAGCCCACACCACAATAATTTATTTTTTAGATGTCGTCTCCTCGTCAAAAATTGGCGGCATTTATCATAATATGTTTCGCAGGGCTAGTTGTTTCTGAAAAATTCGCCTATGTCTCAGTTCTTTCTTCAGATTCGTTTCTCACAGCTGCGAAGGTGTTAGGTCAGCTTATTTGAACTATATCATAATTATATAGAAAATTAAAATATTTCAGCCCACCGGTTAAAATCTTTCAATACTACAATTCCATATATAGTCATTGTCACAGAAGACATCAGTTTCGAATCAATCGATTCATTGAAGAGTCAAGGAGTTGTTGTAATACATGACAAGAAAATCGACACTCCGTATATCAAAACTCATAAAGCTAGGAAATATCATGTAAGTTATCTTAATATAAAAAAAGTGTTATAGTGAAAATTCTACAGTACACCAAAATTCGATTATGGGAAATGGAAGAATACGACGCTATCACTCATCTTGATCTCGATGTTCTGCCGCTCACTGACATTTCCTCAATTTTCCACTGCGGCACATTCTGCGCATCATTCCGCCATTCGGACATGTTCAATTCGGGCGTATTTGTACTAAAGCCCAATAAAACAGTGAGTTTTTTTTTGAATACAAGCGAATTAATGCAGATTGAAAGACGAAGCTTGTCGTCACAATTTGAAATTTGGCAAATACAACCAAAAATAAGAACAAACAAATAAATATACTAGTCCAGGAAACATTGCATCAAAAAAATGTTGAGTGCTCGAAATCTTGTAGTTTATGCACCGAGAACTGTAGTTTGAATAATTTGCACTCAAAGAAGAATGTACGGTAATTATAGCTAAGTGGTGGTTTATGGTTATAAGTGATTGCATAGTGAACTATGAGATGCATAAAAATTATAGCCAAGTACACTTTCAAGGTTCTCTAAAACTGAAATTCTAGAAAAAAGAAACGAGTCAACACACCCACCTATAAATGATAATTAGGATAATCATTCTTTGAATGGCCCTGTGACCTGCAAATTATGCGTTTCAAAAAATTATTAGTCAGGCATTTTTGGCTTGATTGATAGCATACACTTTCTAGTTTCTCCAGAACTTCATTTTCTTCGTGAGTCATCAATTTTTCCAATTTTCTAATGGCTATGACTTATTAAGAACTCGCCAACTATTTTTTTTTTCTCGAATAATAGATCCCATCTTTTCTAACGAGACGCTCACATTTTAAATGAACAGTTGCTATTACTTTGGCGTTCGAGTGAAAATAAAAAAATTAATGTTTAAATTCTATTTTGTAGGTTTTTGCCAATATTTTTCTATATTGCTTGAAGCGATTAAAATCTTGCCAAAAAAGGCAACAAGATTTTTTAATGCGTTCCTCTCATTAGATCGTTGTGGCAGCAAGGATGTCATAATAGAATAATGGCGTTGTGACGCGGCGGGGCGGGAAGGGGGGGTTAAATGGGATTCATGGAGCCCACGCAGATGTTCTTCATTTCTCGAACAAAAAAAATACACTTTGAAGCGACCGCGAATATCCCATTGCGTCGCGGCAGAAAAAAAAAACCGCGCCCATTTTAACACATTTGGCCGGCTCAATTTCCCTTATTCCAGATTTTCTACGACATGGTCCAACGCGTTCAGTCGCTTCCATCTTACGACGGTGGCGATCAAGGCTTTCTCAATTCATATTTTTCCGATTTGAAATACGCGCCAATGTTCAACGCTTCTGATCCGTTTCATCAACCGTATAATTCGTCAATGAGAAGGTGCAATTTTATTTCTCATAATGTGAAAAACGAGAGTTCTATTTTGGTTTTTTAGACTCTCGGCGGCTTTCAACTATGATATCGGCATGTACTACCTTAACGGTGGCCGATACCTCATTGAGCCAAAAATTATCCATTATACACTTGGGCCGACGAAACCATGGATTTGGTGGACTTACCCATTATTCGATCTCAATTATGTTTGGCTTGAAGCTAGGCAAGTAATCCACCCACCACTCCCACCAAAATTTGCCCCCCCCCCCAACATTGGCTTTCTCTGTGCGTGTTTTCTCACACATTATTCAACTTTTGAATAATCTACTTGCTCTTTTCTTTGCAATGAGCTCTTTCAGGTGTGACATGGAGACAGCGAATAATCTCGCTGCCCATACCATGGATTTATTGATCTACCATTTCGGATTCATTACAGCGTTGCTTCTCGTCAAAATCGTGAGCTCTATTGCCTAGCGATTAAAGTGATGAGATTATTTTTTTAGATAACTGAGAGCGCTGCTGGCGACTTCTATATCATCTCCGAAGTCAAGGCCCATCGTCAGTCATATGTTTCACATTTAATCTACATCATCGCAATTCTTCTGAGCTTACAAATCGTTCCAATGGCTTATCACCCAACACCAACTTGGATATTCTTCTCTATCAATACGGTGGGTTCTTGTTGTAGCACTCAGAAGCTCAAATAAAGAACAATTTGAACTAAGTGCAGCGTGCACTGCACTGTATCTTGTAGCTCACATAGTGCGCACTCATCAATTTTCTCTATTGCTTTCTAGAATCGAATTGAAATTTGCATCTAGCGTGAAAATCTGATGAAAAACGAATCCATGCACAAACAAGTTTCGAATGAGTTCTCGTTCAGAAAACGAGCATTAAGGTACATAATAAACGATGTTTGATCAAGAAAAACGTTTTAATTTCTATTTTCGCTGGAAGTTTCCCTGCTTCAAAAAATATCACCTGGTTTCCTAAAAAGCATAAACAAATGTTTACATACATTTTAAATAATGTGCTCTTTAGCATATTTTATCGCTAATCACAACCATATGCTGATGGGGGAGATCCGAAGAAAAAAATGTGACAAATGCGTTTCGCTAGGCCGATTCTTTTCGAAAACTGAGGCAATTCAAGTTTGTGAAATGTAAAATTTTTTCAGTCCTGGGCCGCTGTCACCCTCTCGACGATGTACGCCAAAATTCGTCGCGGCATCCAGCCGCCGGTTATCGATGCGCTTCTCGTGCTTTTCCTTATATTAGCAACCCATTCCATCTCTGGACTTATCGTTGGAAATATCACCCCATTCAGCAAGAAAGTGGTCACCGTGATCGCGGTTATTGTTATTAATCAAATCGCAATCAGCTTCTATATCCGCCACATCCTTTTCGAAACCGTGTTCACCAATAACCGATGCAAGATGTTGAAGAACCGCATTCGTAGGCCGTAATTTATTATTGAAATTGCCTTTTTTGTGTATGTATGTGTGTGTGTTCGTCTATAATATTATCTCCAAGTGTCTCGCGCGAGGCCGGCGCATTCCATTCCCGTTATGAACTATTTTTATATGATCTCAAAGAGGAAACATTCGCTTGATTATTTTTTTTCGCGTAATAAAACTGTTGGGATCGTAGCAGCCAAAAAAATTTACCGATGTTGAAACGCATCTCATCAAAATTCCTTCCTCTGTCCAAATGTTAAACGAATAAACAATTTTTTTTTGTCTTCGTCGATTTCAAAAAACTGGTATCGTCTTATCATTCTAGGGGCCTTAATGTGAACTTCCATGACACAAAAAAATATCGAAGCCTTGGGTTTGTTTCTCTCGACCACACGAAAGAATTGAATTGATCAAGGTGGGAGGAGGAGGCTTTTTGTTTTGATTGCGCGATAACCGGTTCGTTGACCATTTTCAGAACCAATGGCTTGCTGTAAAGTGACCATCAGATGAATCCAAATTAAAAGGTCATCTCGATAAAGGTCGAAAAGAAGAATAGGGTCATTATGAGTTTGATTGACTTTATTGTTTCTTGGAAGACTTCCTTCATTGTAAATTTTTGTTTCGCTAGAATTCGAAAATGATCCAATTTCATTATCAAGAAGGCACTGGTGTTTTTGCAATTATTGATCATCACATGACTGTTTTCCGATCAAGAGCGTGTCAAAACAAATGATCAGCTGATTGCGTGCGGATCTCGACATGATATTCCTCATCGCATCCAATTGGTCATCACCAAAAAGAAAAACATGGTTTACGAGACCGCCAATGGGTTTCGGTTTTGTGAGTAACAGTTATCAAAAAAAATGGATGACTTGGCGATGATGAAAAAAATTGTTGGTTAGTGAAACGCTTTGATAAGACGGATTGATTGAGATGATGTTCGATCTCATATTTATCAACTAATCGAGAATATCGCGAAACTTCTGGAATTGAATTGATCAAATGACCAAGAATTTTAATATTTTATATATAAATATTGCATATTCTTCCAGTATTCTTTTCTTTTTCCGATTAAAAAAGAGGCTTTAATATTGAAATAGAATGAAAAATTGAATACAAGAAAATTAGAAAATATTTTTTTAAAGAAAATTTGGCTGAAATTGTGAAAGCCAACACTGTGTGGATGAATGAATAAAGTTTAACAAAATTAGCTATATATACTATTTTTTCTGAAAATCTTTAAAAAATTAAACTTCATCAATTTAAAAAAAAAATTGCTTGCCAGAATAAATTGATTAAAAATTAAATTTTGGAAACATTTCTAGGGTTAAACATTTTCCAATCGGAATTTCCCGCGGTCGCCAAGTTTTCAATTACTCGATTCGTCACAATTTCTACTCTGGAACATTTGTTAGAATCACAGTTCGCCTTGATTAGCATGCCCTTGAAACCCACAATCCACGTGAGAATCCGGCATTTGAATCGAATCAAAAATCACCTTGAAAAATCAAAAATCTCATTTCAACAATCAATCGGGCAAGCGAACCCAAACGCCATGTTGGCGCCAACTCGAATCATCAAATCAATCGGTGACGCAAATTTCATCGAGACAAATTTTCATCAATCTCGACACGGATCATGTTGGCAACTCGAATTTCATCGACAGTTTCAGTATGATCAACATCATTTCGGGTTATTCACTACTATCATTGGCATCAACCAAAAACTTTTTTTTCGTCCTGGGCCCCTTCTGTGTGTCAACATCATTGGTCATTGAAAACACGTACGCAGCGAAGACGACGAAGGCGATGATGATGAAGACGAAGAAGAAAAGTCATAGGCCATTAATGCTATTGAATAAAGAAAGGAACGAAGTGGGCGGCGCCCGCTATTTTGCCAAACAATCAATGACGAAGGCGGAGAGGTCGGAATTCAGGCAGTCGGCTTTCAATCATTGTTCACTTATTACTTGCAGACATGTCCGGAAAACAGGTCGGTCCTTATTCCTTGCCTTCATTCTATTCATTTTTCAATTCAATTTCAGAACGAAGAATGCAGCTACTGCACTCTCACTGTCATCTCGCTTGCAATTGCACTAGTCTCGGGAATTTTGACGCTTCTCGCGGCTAGCTACATGTACCACGGAGTCAATGATCTTGTCATAATGCCTAAGGAGGTGAGGCTTTAATTCCAGTGATCATAACCACCGTAACCATTAAAACGATGCTACGTCAGCTGATTAATGGGTTAAGATATAGAGGCGAAATTGCCCAAAATACACAAATCCTTGCGCGATACAAAACGGGAAATTGATATCCGTCGTGCGCATTCCAATCCATATCGATTGATTTAATCGTTTCAGCTGCAAGCCTACACATCGAGCCGTCTCTTAGTGCCACACAAAAAGATTGTGCTCATCAAAGTGGATGTCAAACATCGATGCTACATTTTGCCATTGAGTTTGTCGAAGGTGTGTTTGATGGAAATTCAAAGTGAAGAGAGCGAAAGTGAAAGTTTTGACCACTAGAAAAAGTTCCTTATTATCACATTAATGGGCACTCGCTTGAATACAACAAAGGCGACTACATCATAATGAAACAATCGCGATACTGCTGTTGGGATGAACAAAGATCATATAACCCCAAAAAGATAGTGCAGAACGTTGAAAAGTGCAAGATGATAAATATGGTGGTGTTGCGATAGTGCTAAAAAAAAATGACGCGTTGTAGGATGTGTAGTCCTGAAAAGAAGGTCGCACAGATTTGATTCCTTGATCGAGTCATCAAAACGCCAAACAATTCACGTATTTTATACAACAGTTTGGCGAATCCGTCGAATTTCACTCGAATTGATTGACTTCAACACGTTGTCATTTGCAGGATTTGGCATCGACGAAATTCATGGTCAGCAACGAACCGCTTGAGCCGGAAACCCTCGAAGAAGTTGCTGGCGCAGATGGTGTCGACTTCTGCTCAACAACACCTGCATACGTATTAGAGGCCCGTACGTAAACCAAACACTTCACCAAAGAATGTTAAGCTTTAAATATTCAATGTTTTCCCACGCCGATCCATCTAAGACTCAACTGAAACGAATATTGCCTGAATTTTCCACCGATTGACGAATTGATCTCCTCCAAAAAAACTTCCCTGATTGTTCAATATTACTGTATATAATTGTATAGAAAACCGTTTGATTTCGATCTTTCACTTCTCGCATCATTCTCTTTATGTGTATGTATTTTCGGACCATAAATTCCTAATCCTGCCTAGCTATGTTCTATACGAGTCTGGCTAACCACACTGGTACAACTTTTTGTGTTGAAATTGTGATATGACAGCGAAGTAAACTCTGAAGCAAGTGCTAGTGTATGTAATCGAATACCATCGCAGAAATATCATCAGTTGCTCATTGGGATCACGCACACACACATACACCTCCCCATGATATTTCTACTAATCTTAATCGTGATTTCCGGACGTCAGGTATTTCGACGAACAACCTCGCGAACAGGGAGCCCAATACAAGCCCGGCTTCACCCTATAATTTTCCAACTGGTGTGCGTGTCCTCCATAAATCTTAACGTTTTTCGTAATATGAACAATTTTTGCATCTACTTGTTCGTTTGGGGACCCCATTGCTCTCTCCGCACCCCTCCCCCCATCCGCCACCAGCATTTTGCTTCCCATGATTTTTTTTATTAAGTCACTGCTCTAAAATTTAAAAGCGACACCACCCCGGAGGTGTAAGACCTGTCAGGATTCCAAATTTATTGCTCTTTAAATTTTTGCCGCTTCGCCGCAGAGGCGTCAGTGTAAATGATTATCTTATATTTTTATCTCGGCCACTCCCCATCGGTTCGTTTCGTTTTTGTTTTGGTGGACCTACTCAAGTGTTCCGCCACTCAGTCACCGTTTGAATTTTCAAATGTGTTCGGTTTTGAAAAAGAAAAACCAAAGGTTGTAAAATCAACAGCTCCTTCATTTTGTTGCCTTTCTTCCAATTGCCATAGTTAATTGGCCGGCAACGTTTTTCGATCGCATGAAAATCGAAAACACATGAACCACATTTCTTTTTTCAATTAAATTTTCAATCATGTATATTTTCATTTTTTGTTTTTTCAAAATTTTCTTTTATTTTGAAAATAAAATTAAACTGTATTTTTTATTCAAATTGAGCATCATAAAAGGGCTATAGTAATAAAATCTAGTAAATTCAATAAACTAATATATTAAAATTTGGATGCTTTTTAGACTCCTCATTCAGTTTTAATCAAATTTATGAATATTTGTCACAAAAAGTGGAAAACAGTTCAATTTTACAACATTCATTTCCCGCAGCGTTCTACGGTTGTTTTTTCTAATAGGACCCAGAAGTCTCCAATTTCATTATCAGATCTCTAGATATTAAAACGAGCATCTTAGATAATCAAAAAAATTTTTTAAACTTTTTTTAGCCGTAAATCTAAATACTGTTAAAACAGTGTGAATTCTTGCAAGTTAAACTCACGGAATTTATAAATTATAATAGTTTACTCAGCTTTTTTTTACCCCCGAGTAAACAGTAGTTTTTCTATATTTCGGCACTTCCTCAAATATTATAAGCTCTTCTCATAATTTTTTCTTGAACTTCTCGTTATAAAATCACATAATGCAATTATGCCAGTTATTCAGAAATGCTATACGTGCGTTCCATTAAAAAAAATAGTGGGAAAGTTGATGAACAAGTCAATTCTCAAACTCGAAAAAAAATGTCGCATCTGCCCCCAAATATATCCTAAGATATGCATTACTTTTCTTTTTCAAAAAAGAAAGTTCCTCGCCCTCATTCTTGTGTTTTTTCTTCTTTGCCATACTTTGGCTTACTTCATTAAATAGTGAAGATGGGGGAAGGGTTAGTTGTTGTGCCGTCGGGGTGGAAAAGGGAGTTTGAAAAATGTTTCAAGTAAGTAATTGTATTTGGCTGGGATACAAATGAATTGGAAGGAGTTGGGCGGCGAAATGCACCAATTTCTTTGGTTTGCCCTTCATTCTTCTTCTTGGCGACCCAACGAATTCAATTTGCCTTCACTCAAAACCTACCGTATCTCAATTTGACTCATTAGTTGAAATTTTTTTTATTTCCACTGGATTAGAGTGAAATCACCGACAAATAAAAATAAAAACAAAGGTTTGTGTATTCATTCATTTCATTTCCAAAAAGTTATAAAAGTGCTTTGAGAGCATTCAAGTAGGCACTCGATGGGTGGGCTTACAAATCGAAAATCTTGCACACCCATATAATAGCTTGTAAGTAATGTTGTTAGTCAACCAAGAAGCCGGCGAAGAGAAAAAAATGGTAGCTTCCTCGAATGGGGTCATATAATACTTTTTGAAATGCTTGCTCCATTATCGTCGTGTAGTCCTTTTAAGGAAATGGCAATTTTTACATGGCGGCGCTTCGCCTTTCATTCAAGCCGACATTCAGATTGGCTTGGAGATTTTCGAAATTATTTGGTATCGAAAAAAAAATCAAACGAAATATTTCCGATTTGGCGATATTTTCCATTTCTTCAATTTTTTAAACAACAGATATAAATTGTTAATAGCACTATTTTGATTTTAAAACCTTGAAATTTCAAACTGCTTAAATTGCTTCATATTCTCCCCTTCTTCCTATATAATGTTCATCTCAACAAAATTGGGAGCATCCGGTCGCAACCCAACCGAAAAAAAACCGGAGTTTCCCCCTGCAGAATTTCCTTCACTCATTTTTCAACACGGTTTAGCTAGCGTGTTTCAGGATTAGTAGCAATGTGCATAGTATTCGAGAAAACGCGCCATATTAGGGGAACACTCAATTTTTGCGGACGCAAAAATGCATCGTTTGAAGATTCATTCCGACAAAGAGCTAATTGCGCGTACACACATTTTGAACGAAACGGGGGAAGGAAGAAAAAAATGTTTTTTTTTTTCATTTTTTTCTTTTGACGTCTCAACTCATTTACTCACGTTTCTCATTATTCTACTAAGCCGTTTTGATGTCCAACCCACTCGTTCCGTTTTTTTTTTCATCTAATTTCGGTTTTGTTTCGCGTTGTCTTGGTGTTATTCTTCGGAAACAAATGAACTTTTTTTTCAAGTGCCGCTGATAATTGTTTAGTGGTGGGACCAATTTACTTTAAGGTCATTCGCTGCATACGTTTCAACAAGGCCTTTTGGGAATTTCGCAAACGTTTAATAAGGTCCCAATATGGTAATGGGTTCAAGTACACTGAATATTGAGCATATTCACTTGATGCGACAGTATGATCAAGGCATTGTTAGGAAATTTTCAAGTTCTTTTTTGAGAAGTCGCTTGATCGAAATTTAACTCCAAAAATTGCCCATCTCCCCTTTTTCTATTTATTTAGAAAAAAGTTACAGTAATTTTGTTATTCGTAGCAGAAAGACGCAATAAATAAATCTGCAGCATTACTGCAAAAAAATTGTTGTCAAAATAAATTTCGAAAAAAAAACTGTTTATGTTGGGCTCAAGGCCTTCGCAAGTCACTTTCGTCATGGTCCCCAACTAAGCGTAGACATTGTTACGTCACAATTTAAAGCCGAACAATTATACAAAAAAGAGGTTTTCGTGTAACATGGCTTAAACAGAACGTTTTCAAATGGGTAATTCCAAATCAGGAGAACAATTCATTTTTGAAAGCGCTAGGTTCGAAAGAAGCAATTTGCTAGAGGCAGCTGAAATGTTTTTGTGAAAAAAAATTGCCGACGAGCTTCTTGAGTACAAGAGAACTTTAACTTTTTACTTTTTGAAAAAAAAAAACTATTACAAGCTTTTCCTCGAGAAGTCTGCGAACTTGCAGATAAAAATTATCTGATATGAGAGCAAATTTTTTTTATTAATTTCAAGATCCTATTTTAGTGATTAATCGAACTTCATTGCTCAATTATGTTTCCATTTGATGTATATTTCACCAAATGCAAATTCTAATAATATCTAATATTCTGATTTTTGCCAGCTCAATAAAGATTCACAACGTTTCAATTAGTAAGAGACGAAACCCTCACAATGTGGAATAACCTTTCATTTGAAAACCTGCACATTTCAACATTGCAAAGGTCACAGAAGCTTGATCGCGAACATTTTCATTTTCATCTTTCTTCTCTCTTGAAACTTGAGAATTGCTCCTTTCATTCAAGAAAAAAAGAGCTGCTTATGAAATTGCAAGACAATTGTCGCTTTCGCAAAGGGACCCGATGTTTTTAAAGTATTTCAAGCATAGTACTAGTTGTTAATTGTGGTTGAAATGAGAAAAAGCTGCACAAAACCATTTTGAATCTGCAAAACGCCAAGCCGTTATTTTGAAATGAGATTGTTCACTTTAAAAGGAAATTAATGTGATGGGGTGGAGTACGGTGGGAGAAGGACAACTCCGTTTCGAGACCTTGCTAATTTTTTGTTGTCGTTATTCTTTCTTCAACTCTTTTTCATACATTTGCCGGCATTTTTAGTAAACCGAAAGAAATTGTCTCCCATCACGCCTAGTCATTTGAAATTGTTGCAAAAATTTCGTATAGATTTTTTTGCAATTTGCAGTTTCCAAAAAAAACTGATTTCTGATTTGACGTCGTAAAAGATTGAACACTTTTCCAACACCACTAGTAGTATTCACTTGAGGGAATTGAGAAGAAGAAGAAGAAGCTGAAGTGAATTTTCGGACCCCCACCAAATTATTAGTTGTTTGTTGTGCGTTTTGATGAGCGCCATCATCATGAGACTTGCGATTGACCGCATTGCTGGTTTTAGGGACGCTTTCGTTTGTGAGCGCGTCCCTTCTTCCAAAATATAATTATTTGACTTGTTGTGGAAAATGTTATTTCGTTCGTTTGGAGCAAGTTCAAGCGTCAAGCTCATCTTTCAACATTTGTAAGCAGAAAGTCTTCCAATAGCAAAAAATTTCGAGCCAACCACCTCCCCCCCCTCTCGAACAACTTTTTTTCCCAAACACTTCTTCATTTTTCATTTTTGGGTTCAAGGTCAGTGATTTTTTTGCGGTGAGCCGGCCTGGGACGGCTCATTGTTCATACCCAATGTTTTAGTTTGACATATTGAGTGTGGTCGCCATTCAGCTCTTTTGTGGAACAAAAGTTTGTGTACTCAATTTTTAAAAAATTGTTTCACAAAATTAAAATTTTCCAAAATGAGTTTTTTGTATAGTTGTATATGCTCTTTCTTGAACTCCAACTCCTTTCTATTACCAATCATTTTTGGTGACTCTAAAATTTTGCAATGCCACTTTTCCACGCATTATCTGATTCATGGACGTTCCGGGACCATGTAGATTAGTATATCCAATTTACATGCATACATAAATTATATGCTTTTGAGTACTAGGACTTTGTCTCTCATCGCTTTTCATAAAAATCGTTGAATCATTTTTTTTTCGTTCACCTTCTAAAGAAATGGGAAGACATCCAAATATGGCACCACCGCAAAAAAGATAAATATTCATTCTTCAAAACGTCGAGCAAAACAAAGTTGAGAATAAACGACCGTACGATTTCTCATCAATTCGCTGTTTGTCATCGCGAAGCAGTCTCATCAATTAAAATGGCAGCGAATCGGTTTTTTGTTGGCGGATGAATTATGAAGGCTTCCAAAACGCCATTGGTTTTTTTTCTTGTTTGCTCGCATCTTTCTTTTCTCCTGCTGGTATATATTATTCGAAAATTAGTATTTTTGAACAAAAAAAAAACATAAGAACAAACCAGTAACCCCAATTTCCATTATGTGAATGGCGCCGCGCGGCCATCATTTTTCACTCAGAACGCCAAACAAATAACGACAGTATCTATGGTGATCTACTTCGCCATAATTCAATCTCTCATATTTGTAGACAATTCAAACACATCGGTGGAATAAGGGAGAAAAAGAGAGGGGGGGGGGTTGTCTAGAAAAATTTTTTTAGTTACGACTTCATATTGAATTTGTGTTGATACGTCCTTATTAATAATTCATCGCTTACTAGCTGAAAATTTGTGTCTTCTTCTTGCAGATTCGCCGCTCCTTCTCAACGACTATCATCGGAAGTTCTAACTGAAGACCTAGACAGGTATGCTTGTGCGTTCGTTTTCAGGTGCATGGCGTGTCGGGACATGAGGCAAGTTTTTGGCTCAAAGGACAGTTTGTATCAATTCTCTGTTATTTTCAAGTCTATTTTGCAAAAAAAAAGAGTTCTCATGAGTTTTGAAGGTGTTCTCAGGAATATGAGAATCGCTGAACCCACTTAAGTAGCTCTTATGAATCTGGAATGTGGATTGAACATTTCTGGGTATTGTTGGGTTAGTAACATGAGGGAAATAGTCAATCAGTTTTAATGAGTTTGAAAATTGTTTTATTTTTTCAGAAAAAAAACTATACAGTATTCAAAGAATAAGAGATGATTCGGTTTCTGCTTGAAATATGTGATACATATAATATTCCGATCAGAATAATATATATATATATATGCTCATCTCAATTTAAATAATTATTTCAAAAGAATTGAAGAATCACATATCAATCAAGATACCTCAAAATTTTAGATCCTAATCAGAAAATCATCCCATAATTATTTGACTTTACCACCAATTGTGACTAATTGTAAAACTTATTTCTTGATAATAGAGGTAAAAGGGAAATCCTTTGATATCGTTAATTACTTTTTAAAAGTTAAATTGTTTTCGTTCAAAATTAAATTTTTATTTGAGACTACTAATGCAAGCTTGAAAATTTTAACAATTAACCCCATAGTTAATACCTTGTAGCTTAGAGTATAAAGATTAGCATAGAGAAGCCGTCTTAATTATTATATGTAATTATCAATATATTTCACTGATTTTTTGCCATCAATCTCCTTTATTTTCATAATTTTCTCCTATTTTAGAGTTCACATAACAGAAATCGCATTTTTGTTATTTCGTTATTTCATTCCAACAATAATTGGTGTTGTGTGAATTTTTCCAGGACTTTTCATATTTTCAGAAGAATTTGATCGAAGCTGGCACTTTTCATTCGTTCTCACTATCTCATTGATTTCAATTCGTTTTTTCTTGTCTTTGATGTTACAATCTTATATAAACAGCTCGAGGAATACGGCTTTATGAAGATGAATTGATGAACATTAAATAAGACATTTCGTAAGCGAGTGTAAACCCGCAATAAATCTTCCATCGTGAATGTGCAAAACTGTTTGATGATGCTCATCGCTTTCACAAAAAAATTTTTTTCTTCCTCCAAGATAGATGATTGATGTTTATTTATCGAGCTTGTTGCTGTCAATTGAATGATTGAGAGCGACTAATCGATGTTGTTTCAACTCATTTTCAACGTTTCATTTAATTGCTTGTCATTGGGCGGGTCACAGACACCAAAAATCGCTGGCTGTCACTACTCCAGCAATTGAAAGTTTTGCGAAATAAGCCATCCAACTCTTATGGCACCAAGAATTGTTTCCTTTTGATTGTTTTATTGCGCTTAAGACTATTTCAAAATATGATTTTTTAAATGGCATCTCTTTTCTTTTGCTTTTTTTTATTTTGAAAAAAACTTTTTACACTAGATATCGTTAATTTGAGTAACATTTAGAAAGGTTGCATTTGCTGATGACAATATTCCTTTCATATTTGCTTATTCCGTTTGTCTTTTTTAATATTCATAAAGTGTATAGACACTTGTGCCTTTGAAAATTCTCACGCAAAAGCCCCAAATGCAGTCAGAAAGGTGTCCAAACAAAGCATCCAAATAATTATCGAATTTTTGACCCCTTTTCTCCCCATCAACTTTTTATCTTCTAATTTTTGCCAGAAGAATGTCATACTTTCCACGCAATAAATCCGATCATCTCCGGCGAGATCAACTTCTCAAAGAAGCTTATTCTTAATCATAAAAATGCACTTTTACTTTTTTCTGCAAACAAATTTGCTGATTGCTTTTTTCTCTCCTTCATTTTCTTCATCTTCATTCTAATTTGATCTAATATTAGCACTGGGCATGATTTTTATGAAAAAAGCCAAAGTTCATGCTGAAATGCCGCCATGTGGCATGCCGGTGGCAATTTTTTTCTCTATAATTCAGTCTTAACTGCCAGGATGAACAGCAGAAACAAACGACAAACGTCTCATAGTTTTGAAGAAAATAAGCGATGGGTCCCGCGAGAGGAAGATAGGGGTGCTTTCTGAGGTGCGGCGGTCATTCGCAAAAAATTGGGACATGTTCCCAGAAACAACAATATCATGACAAAACGCTTCTGGTGCTTTGCGAATTGTGCCAAAAAAAAGTTGGAATAACAGCCAAAAACCGAAATGGATCAATTTCCGGACAAGGTCAAATTACACGAAATGCCATCAGGAAGAATCGGACGCGCGTTCTCAATTTCCCCCATTTTGACTGACCTCCGCGCGAGTGTGTGTCCACCAAACTCGGGGATTTTTCATATTTTTGGCGAAATTTGACACTCGAAAAACAAAACGTCGGAAGACCCATTTCGCCCTACTACTTATACTATTCAAATATTCTGATTTATCTGACTAGACCTGTGGCAAAGGTAAAAACAAAAATTGAAGTTGCACTTTCCATTCCAACTAGAAAAAATACATAAATTATTAACACCGAAATGAAAGCAATAACAAATGAATAATATTTATCAGCATCAATGTTCTTAAACGAAAGTTCTAGAACTCGATTGTTTTCTGAAATTCTGTCGTTTCCAGAAGTGAATTTTACATTTCTAAGTGAAGAACTAGAAATTCTTTTTCAATCCGCATTTCTAGAAAAAAAAAACATTCATCTTAACCCCCAATGAAAACTTAATGCCATAAAAAACATTTTCAATGCCCGGCATATACTTCAATTATGAGTATTATTATATTTACTATTCATCGAATGAAGAAATCATAACAACTCTATTCTATTCTTGATTCGCGAAAAAATTGTTGAGCGGAATAGTTGAAACTCTGCGCCATGCTTCAAAATTTCCTGTTATTTGTTGTCGAGCACAATTCCATTTTCAGTGGGGGGGGTTCCTTATTCCCAATTGTTTTCATGCGACAGCCCTCAAAAATGCAATTTCCAGATTTCCTGCACGTTGTCAGTTTTGAACCCAAATTTCTTTAGTTTTTTTTCCTTCTTGCCAGCTCGATAGTTTCCTTGAAAACAATAGAGTGGGACCATCGACTTCAAAAATAAATTCAAATATATGTATCAGCTGTCAAGCCACCCTCATATAAACAATTCTTGACCAATTCGACATCGGCATGACTTTTTGCTTCATAATAGCGCGACAAACGTGACGCTTTTGATTATCATGCATCGGTTTTAATCAAGCGAAAAGCCAGGCGAGACGAGGAAAAAAAAAGTGCAAGTATGAAAAGGAGGCAAACTTGGACAAAACCGCGTCACACACGCATACATGCACAAGTTTTTTCGGGGCTGCGGCTTAGGTAATGTGTTGAAAATTCGGAGAGCCGCCAGCCATCAAAGAATTAGCACCCATGTTTCAAAAATGGCAAACATAAGTCAACCACATGACGAAAGAAGCACCGATGTCGAAGAAACGCGAAACAAAAGCGACCGAGTGTGTGTTCACTGCTGATAGTGATTTATTCGCGCAAGAGACCCCCCTGGGTCGAATTTCACTGGAAATTCGCTCGTTTTTTTTGGACATTTGTGTGCGTGCTTCGAAAAAAAATATATATAATAAAACGCTTCCAAAAAAAGCGAATAAAAAAAAGACGGGTGTTCAAGTCAAACTCGAAAAGCCCGTAGTATATTCGAAAAAAGGCCCGGAGGCATTCGGTGTGCCTCCTTCATTGACTCCGCCCATTTTCCCAGCTCCAACGCGGTGCTCTCGTTCGTTTGTGCATTTCTTGAGATACACACACACACTCGCACACGTGTGGTTTTATTTTTTTTTCTTGTTTCGGCGAAGTGCTGTCAACTTTCTATCATCGCGATATTCATTATTGTTATTATTACTATTCGTATTGTTATTTTTGTTCGGCTTCGAGAGGTTTGAGAAGACGACGGCAACAGCAGCAGCAGCAGCGGAAATTCGCACAGTCGTAAATGTGCGGCGGCTCAGTTCGACGACGGCGAGAAGATTGAACTGACGCCTATGTCACTGACGACGAGCCATTCAGCGCACTTTGAACCGTCCACGTCTCGAAATTCGCGCGCGCCCATCTCGTCGACGCATTCATTGGCGACACTTAATAATAATAATTCGCAATTGCCGCCAGCGCCACCGCCGCCATCGGCAGCCAACCTCGAGCCGCTTCACGAGACGACGCCGTTGACCAACGGCGGCACCAAACTCAAGAAAGCGTCAGTACCAGTACCGGATCCAACCCGACGATTGCGGCATCCGCCGACATATTCATATCCGGTTAGTTTCGTGTACAAAACATTGTTTTAGTTCGCCTCATTGGAATGTAAATTAAAAGCAATTGCATCTTTTTTGGCAATATTGAAAGAAAGCATTCTCAATTTCCAACCATAACATTTTCTTCTCACTTTTTGCTCCTTTTCTCGTTTGCCATGCCACAATAGCCATCCGATCCTCATTTTTCATTATCCTTATATGATATTCATGTTTGCCATCGTGTATGTCATCTTGTATATGTGATTAATATTATAGCATGCGCAAGGTCATCAAACAAAATTGTCATAATTTTTCATCATCTTCATACTTTCATCGTTCTTTCTTTGTGTTTGATTGCCGGGGGAAAAGGCGGCTTGTTTGGGATAGTCAATTTGCATATAAATTCTCGCCTATTTTCCTTTCCTTCTCATATTGAGCGCGCATGTTTTTGCCTGGAATCCGTTGAGGTAGAAAATTGAAATTTTGAAACTTGAAGACAGCGTTCAATGGAGGGATAGATAGACAACTGTTGTCTTTCAAGTACTTTATCGATATTTATTGTTATGAGCAAAACGGCGGCTTCGAATTCGATTTTTTTTCCTCGTTATTTCGCACTACCCAATGTTTGATTTGAAGGCAAGCAAGTGTAATTATGAAGGCTTCCAAACGCCGCTCACATCACTCCCATGGGGACGACCGGCTCGGATTTCCCCCCGTTTAAAATCCATTCAACCTCCCATTTTTGGCCATTTAAGGAATGAGTGAACGCAAAAAAAAAATAAACTGGCGAATACTTGACGAGAAACCGAACGCTATGAATTTGGTTACCGGTTAATCGTTGCGACGGGAGTAAGCAATTTTCGATTATTTGGCCCACTCCTCACAATGTGCACAACGCCTTTTCGGCATTCATACGCCTCAATGATCCATCGAGAAGCGAGAAGAAAAAAAAACCCCGCGCAATTTCATCGAATTCTTGTTACATAGTTTTGTGCACAAAAATGAATGTATGTTTTTTTTTTCTGGCGCTAACCGCCTCGAACAATGGATTTTTGAGAAGTGGGCCAAGAAGAAGCATGTCTGATTGTTTTTGCCCAGCCTCCCTCGCGTTTAAGCATCAGCAGGCCCACGAAAATATAACAACAAAAAAGTGAGGCCCGTGAATGAAGAAATAAACGAGGCGAAACGATAAAAATAGTCGGACACAACTGGACGTGGTAGTAAATGACATTATTTTCATATAATATATTTTGTGAGCTTGAAAAAAATACATGTGATAATTGAATAATCAAAGACATTTGTGCCCAAACACTTTATTTTTATTTTTCTCTTTTCTCGCTTTAGAAACACATGCGTGAGGGGAATGAGGAAAGAGATGCACATCCATTCATTTTTGATGATGCTCTCCCACGCCTGAAACGCTTGGTCTGTATTTCAAACCCAACTTGAGGTAAAAAAAAATGTTGAATTGCATCTATAGTAGACATGTGTTATTGTTGTCTAATGGTGTCCAAATAGCTACAAATTTAAAGGATGGTGAATTGTGCGCAAATTGCGTTGAGAAAAAAATTCCACGTCATTTATACCTTTGTCTGAAAAATCGAGGGAAGTCTAGTTAAACTCATTCATAGCCAATTATAAATGACTTCATTGGAATTGAAAAGAAAATTTTATTCGATTCTAGACGTTGATGATGATGATGATGACAAATATGATTTGAAAATAACAAATTTCTTGCTGGTCTTGACAGCCTGAAAATTAGTATCAACCCGATTCATTTTTTGCCCCAAAAAAATGCTTCTTCTTTTTGAGCCTAGTTCATGTTCTTCTCTCCTTTTTTCCCCCTGAATTCTGCAAAGTGAGTTTTGCTGTGCGCATGTATATGTATGTGTGTGTACACTATACTGGTTATGGATAACGCATGAGGAGGTCGTGGTGACGCGAACACCCTCCAACGAGGGAACAATAAAATAAGGTTTCGAAAACGCCTTGTGTGACACTTTTCAAACATTTCTGATGCATTCCTTTGGGACATGCGTCGGGACATTAACCCCTTCAAATGGTGCTATTGTGTCATTTGATGTACATTAGACACAAAGTTGTATACAACGATAAGGAGGAAAAAAAGATGTGCGAGGGTAAACGTTGAATATTCACCAATGTTTTGGGATCGGAATTTTAATCATAACGATCCCAAAAAGTTTCTGGAAATAATTTTAGTCCAACTGGTTCAATGATTTTCTGAAAGGTGTGCAAATTGCAAAACACCTGCTGCAAATTTCTTGGCGCCGCCGAAAAAAATTATTTTTTTAAAGCATTAGGTAAATATTTTCTACTAACGATATGCTCAGCATAATTAATGGATTTTAAAAATAATAATTCGCGTTTATGGTAGCTTATAAAAGATAAAAATTTCCGATAGTCCCAATATCCATTTTCCCCCCTTTAAAGGTATACAACAACGTTGTCTGTGTAAATCGAATAATGCCAGAATTTGATTGTATCGCACATGAATCGGGGGTTGAACCTCCTCAGATAAAACAATCAAATTGTGTTCGTCGAGCAGGGAAAAAAATGCCGAATCTCCACTCGACTAGTGTTTTCCAGAACACCCTTATAAGGAGTTGGCCGTGGCCCAAAAATGATGAACCATTCAAATTTTTTTGTTTTTTGTAGCTCCTGCAATATTATTTAGTAATTTTTTTCACGCACACAACACCTTCGAAAAACACTTTTTTCTGCCTCTTCACTCAAACTATTATTAGCTTCTTTTTTTTTGTGTTTTACTCGAATTCGAACGTTATTATTTTTTTTCTTTTTCTTCTTCGGGCCTCTTTAAATGCTAAACAGCTTCATTCTTCGTTCCCGTAATTCTTCTCGTGTTTTCTCCAACTGGTGTTCATTTACTACTAGACATTTGCACATTTTTGATTGACGTGTTGAATCCTGCGGAAATTGTTGAGGGATGCGATGAGAAGAATGCTTGGTCAAAAAGCAATGTTGTAATAATTTTATAAGTAATGAGTTTTGTGCCACGGGAGGAGGGGAGGGGGGGACATCTATCATTTCAACCGATGTAGTACAAGTTGGTTCGTTTATTTTTTTTTGTTGTTGGTAAAATTGAAAAGAATTTCAAATTAGGGTTCCTTTACAAAATTCGCGTCCATCAACTTCACTAATGGGAAATAAATTGTGTTTCATCGTTTTAGACCAACTTTCAAAAAAAAAAAGAATATAAATTTGGGCTGATATAGATGCATAGGGAATTTAGAAAAACAAAAGAAGTTGAAATTGAATATGTAGAAGGAAATAATTAGAAATTCACTAGAACTATTTTTGCAAAACAAAATTCCGCGGAAAAATTAACCGCAAAGGATATCGTTTTGAGAATATCCAGTTTTTAGGGAAATCATTTTTGATTTGAAAGTCGTTTAATCGATATGTGATATTTGAAAGAATTCTAGAATTTACAGACATGTTAGGTTCATTAGGCTTTTTTATAGTCATTTTCATTAAGAAGACCCCCAAACTCGATATGTTGTTAAAATTGCTTATGCGGCATTAATTATCGGGCCCAATAGCAGTATGAAACTAGATAGAAAAATTGTCGACTTTTTTTTGCAAAAAAAAAGCGTTCGAAAATAAATATTCGAAAAAGATTGGTATTTTTTTTTTTGTTTTTTCTTTAATAAATTTATTTCTGCTTGTTAATATTTTTCTCACTTTCAAACCGGAAATTTTAATAATTAACCGAGATCAAAAGTCAAAATTAGAAGCATACTTATCTCTAGTTGGCTGCAATTAACACCTTTTTCATTTCTTGAAAAATTTCTAGTCTTGATGGCATCTTTAAAGAATATAGAACCACGACGTTATGTCACTTAGACACTTAGAGATCACTTAGTCACTTACATTCACATAATTCGTTATTTGGTTCCTTAACGATTTCTAGAACAAGATCAGCAACGCTTGCCAAAGGCAAAAAAAAAATTAAGTCATGTAAAAGCCTTCTTATGACGGTCTTTCTAAGAATACGCTAAGCTGATGACAATGTATTTTTTGTTGCACTTTTTTGAATCAATTTTTGAATTTGTTTGAACTGGATTGTTTCATCCTCCATTTCTTCTCACTTCTATTGATCTCGACAAGTTTATCGAATTGATGTCCTTTGCCGTCGGGGGTCAGAAAAAAAACTGCGAAAGAAACTTCGTGGAAATTAGATGACAAAGGAGACAAGATGTGCTCTTATGACTGGCTCTCCCTTCCCCCCTTCAGCTCGAGATCATTCCCAAGTAGGGTTGTTATCCTATATTGTTTGGTATCATTTTTTATGCTCGTGAGCTCCGTCTCAATTCTCCACGTTTTTTTCTACTTTCTGCTCACCAACTTCCTATGGATTTCACGCAACGTTGGATTCCAACGAGCCGTGGAAATTCATTTCACCTTGATACTTATACGCTTTTTTTCGTCGAAACTCGTTTTTCTTTTCTTGTACACGTTGTTGTTGCTGTTATTGGTATTTTTTCTTGACTTCTTTTCAACAAAAAAAGTTTGTCGATGCACTTAAATAAAAAAAAATAGGCGACACTGCAAAAAAAAAGTAGAGGTTGGAAACGTTTAGTGTATCGAACAGAATAGAATGGTTGAATTGGTGTGGCGACAAACAATGGCAATTTTCGGAGCATTGAAATCAAAATTGTGCGAAAAACGGCTGACTAGAACAAAGTTTCATTCGCACTAGTCGCACATTCGAGCCGGTGCCCATTTTCTATAACTGTGCGAAACGCTGCCGCCACACCGGGTGTCACCAACACGAAATTGGTGTTGAATTTCGGTGTGAAATTGAAGTCATTCATCATTATTCTCATATTTGGCTCGCAATTAGTACGACACTTTCGAAAACCTCCTTCAATTGAAATTTGAAAATAAAGAATTGACGAATATTCCAAATATGGATTAGCATGTGGGTGCTTGATTCGTGCTCCGAATCACAGTTGCCCTCAGAAGTTTCGTCAGTCGAAGAAGTGAGTTTAGCCGTTATTATTATTTTTTTT